GTATAATACGGGCCTAAATCTAATATAATGCACTCGTATGTCGGCTGGGGCTTGTATGTTTAAAAAAAAAACTCGTGACACGGTGTGTGTAATTGAACTACTCCGAAACGGCTGGACCGATTTTCGTGAAATTTTATATGCATATTCAGTAGGTCTGAGAATCGGACAACCAGAGGCGGGCCATCGCCTACGGCCTCGCGGTACAAGGGACCTCGCGCCTCAAGAAAATTTATGCATTGCATAAAAGCGATTTTTTTTATAAAGTCCGTCTTCAGGTCGCCACAGAACAGGGCCGCGAAATCTGTCTTGCCCACATCAAATTTAGGTCTTGCCCCGTCACTGCGGACAAAATCTATTATTTATCCCACTATTTTACACGTTTTATGATACATCATACAAAAAAATGGGTGCGTGTACTTATGTAGGCGCGTGAGAAGTTATCCTTCTTTGGCATCGTTTAAAATTAGTTTTTAATTGCATGCAAATAATTAATTACAATAAATTAATAAGAAGTCTGGAAAAGGACACAGTCAATAAAGTTCTGTTTTAATTTGAAAAAATAAATAAATAATCAAAATATTCAATTAAAATCGCTACTGAATATAATTTATTAGAACATATGTGATTTGCACTTGTATGAAACTCAAACACGTATTCCGAATATACAAACTAGAAACATGTGGATAAATATGAATACCTGTAACTGTTACTTTATTACAAAAAATAAAGATGTGGTTTTTGGTTCTACTACACCAATGGTCAAGAGATGGCGCTGTAGTCTCCTGAATCGCGCTTTGGTTCCGTTGTTCCAGATTAATAAATACTTTTGATAGGCCTTCACAATGCAGTTGTTAGCACCCACTAAATAGAGATTCTACTTCTATTTTGTTGGTAGATTTTCTTAATGTGCGGTAAACACAAAAGTAACGCATGAAGTTGGTCTTAAAATTTTGTGTTACAGTGATGCGCGCGCATCTTAAAATTTCACTCTCATCATTTTTTCATAACGCGCCTAAAGAAGTATAACTTCAAAAATACATACAACCCTTAATTTTGACCCTTTTACCACCAACCCCTATTTCATATGACGGTACGAAGTTTGCTGGGACAGCTAGTATTATAAAGATATATATATTTTAAAGAAGCATGACTTGGGGACAAAATATTTGCGCTTGTCATACACATAACACATGAGTACAGATCGGAATCGGATGCACTATAAGGCATATAAATATGTTATATGCCGTAAAGTTTCAAGTATCTCGCAAACACGTAAGGAAAGTATCATAAAACAGTACACATAATAATAGTTAGTACGTCTGTACGAGTACCATTGTTACCCAGTGCCCCGTTATGTGTCGATCTTCACACGAATTATGCAAAATGAGCCGTAGCACTCGGAACTCAAGTCGAGATGCTTTCGCGCCGTTTTGCTCTGTGCAGCGGTGTGACGCATGAACTTACAGCGGTTTCTGCGGATGGAATATTTCATTCTTGGTAGTAGAGGGATGTAGATTCGTTTTTATCTGGTGATTCGTCACCCTTCGCTATCCGGGCGAATGCATTGATCATTATGCTACCGCCCCAATGGCCGGGTCGAATTCTTTCTAGCCTTTCTTAAGCTGCAAGGCAGCGCCATCTCTTCGCATTGTAGGTAATACACAATGTCAAATGAATTCTTTTATAAGTATTAAAGATTTGAAAGAAGAAATAGCAATTACAGTTATAATTTTTATTTTTGCGGTTGGTGCGGGTTCGAGTCCCGTCTGCTACCTGGTGGATTTTTTTCTAGTAATATTTTCTTTAGATTCAAACGTCGAGCTTAAAACATCAAGTCGAGTTACATGCTTAAAAAATAAAAATTGTAACTATATTTGCGAAATCTTCTTTCAAATGTAATTTTGAACATTCAACAGCCACGACATAGTAGTTTCGTAATTAATTATATTGCAAAAGTCCCTTATTAGCTTGGGCGATGGGTTGGTGGAATATCAGCGTTCGTCTTCTGCTATGAAAAGTCTTGGGATCAGATCCTGTCGGAAACAAACTGTTGTACAAAATCTTGTGATTGATGATTGTGAAATCCTCTTTGGACTCAGATTATGTCATAATTACGATGCAAGTTTGGACCTAAGTGGTTCATGCGTGTTGTTAGGAATTTATTTACGAAATACATTACATACATACAGGCCCCGTCAGAATACCAGCTTTGTCGTGACACGTTTAGTGACATGTCACGGCAGCATTATGCTGAGGCAGGGTCCTGATTGACCAATATTAGAACTGTTAGGTTTATCAATGTTTGTGATGCTTACTTTTATTTAGATGTTTTTATTTTAGCTATTTATAATTATATGTTTGTGTTTTTTATTAGCCAATAAAATGGTTCTCTCTCTTTATCTCTCTCTCTCTCTCACTCTCCCTATCTTAAATAAAGACAAAAATAACAAACGCCGTACCCTTGTACTTGTGCCACAACCCAACTTATAACCGATCATTATAACTCAGACCGCACTTATTGCGTAATCCTAGTCTGACTATCTGACAGACAGTCGTTGTATGTATCTGCGTGCGAGTGTATGTGTGAGTGTAAATGGGGCCCGTACTATGACACAATGTAGAGATTATGGTGCAATAGATTTTGGTAGAGAATCCTCGGGTTCACGCGCGAGATAAATAACTGTTTGATGCGACATCTTTAGTTTTTGGATAAAAGTTTTATTGCGTGTAGCTAAAAGAAAAATGGTGTGGTTGTATGAAAACACGGTGTATGTGTAACATTTAAATCTAATATATAAAATTCTCGTGTCGCGGTGTTTGTGGTTAACTCCTCCGAAACGGCTTTCCCGATTCTCATGAAATTTTGTGTGCATATTGGGTAGGTCTGAGAATCGGACAACATCTATTTTTCATCCCCCTAAATGTTAAGGGTATAATCCACCCCTAAATTTTTTTTTCAATTCTAGATATATTTTTTTTTAATTTTTTTATGATACGTCATACAAAAATACATACATCCCTAAATTTTCAACTTTCTACCACCGACCCCTATTTTTTTATGGCGGTACGAAGATCGCTGGGTCAGCTAATAGTTATTATAAAAGTCTTTCTGCGGCTGGCAATCAAACCTGTGCCGCCCTCATAGCAGTAGCAGTTGTCGTATTATTCGCAAGTGGAATTCTATTACTTGTTCGCTCTTCCTACAATTTGGGGTCCTTTAAAGGTGCGGTCTCAGGATGTGTGTTGTTGCAAGGTATGAGAATTCAACGTTTGAGTTTTAGCTTTCTATCACTGTACCACCGCCGCTTGTTGATAAGATCTGGACTTTGGAAAATTTTTTTTGAGTAAACATTACCTTTGATGTCCAGTGTCTAGGACAGCGACGCGATGAAATAAATTTGCGTAAATGGATATGACCATTGGTCTCCCTTTTGGCACGCGAAATACATACTTGCGACGACCTCCGTGGCCTAGTGGTTTGTACGCCGGGTTTCATGGTGTCACCGACTCGAGAGGTCCCGGGTTCGAATCAGTGGGGGCAGATGTTTGTGTGATGAGTACGAGTATTTGTACTCCAGTCATGGATGTTTAATATGTTTTTCTATATAAACATACTTATATATGTACAGTATATGTATTCTATCCGTTTCCCTAGTAGGGCTAGGCTAATTGGTGTGAGTGTTGGAAATATTTATTTATTCCAAACTATGTCTGTCTGTGGTCAAGAGTGTTTGTTTTTTGGGATTCGCAAACGTTTGTAGGTTACGATAGGTAATACGATACGTAAGCCATCCTAAGGTGCTCTCCGAAGATCATAGTAAATCTTCCACGGCTCTTGGATTTGTGATGCGTAATTCTTATTTTTCGTATAATTCGTAATAAAAAAGACTTCAAAATGCAAAAATATTCAAAATTTTATATTGTTCATTTGTTCGAAGTCATCTGGAGCGTGCGTCCCAGGTCTGGAACCCTTTGTACCTTACTTATATAACGTGCATTGAAATCATATAGAGAAAATTTATCAAATATCTCTGTTTTCGCAACAAAAAGCAGTATCTTCAAATCAATATTTAAGTTTTTGTAAAAAATGGTTGCCTGTAAAGTCGGTTTTACGGGCGAAGATTTTACGTGACAACGTCTTTTTCTCGGTAGAATATTTATTGATATGAATATAATTAAATTGCACAATAGGAACAAGGAATTGAATGAAAATAAGAATTGCACAAATTTTAACTATAGAAATATATTTTGTTTACTAAAACATTGTACATGTAAACTTAAACTTAACACGAGAGACTCATCGTAACGTTACCGAGCGTTACACGTTACACCTGAGAATGGTTTAGATTCACAATTTTGTCCGCTGGACAACCCCTATTTTTTTAGGGCGGTACGAAGTTCGCTGGGTCAGCTAGTTATCTATATATATAAACTCTCTCTAAACTCAAAGGTGACTGACTGACATAGTGATCTATCAACGCACAGCCCAAACCACTGGATGGATCGGGCTGAAATTTGGCATGCAGGTAGATGTTACGACGTAGGCATCCGCTAAGGAAGGATTTTGATCAATTCTACCTCCAAGGGGATAAAATAGGGAATGAAAGTTTGTATGAAACTTTGTCAATTTTAAACCGATCGGGCTGAGACTTTGCATGCAGGTATAAGAATAATTATAGATGAATGTCATTGTGTATAATACAAGCCTGAGAACAAAAGCTGTTGTCTACACTTCAGCTCTACACCGAAGCGAAGCGAGGGTGGGCCGCTAGTATTGTAATGTGTTTTTTATTGGTGAAGACCTGTAATCGCTTTTTTGTTATTATTTAAGTATATTTTTTTTATATTAATAGCTGTTGGTCATCCAAAAATTTAATAAATAAATCTCTGTTGTCGCGTGCCAAACGTACAAGATTTAGATTCCCCAGCGTTTCATTTATTAGAACACAATAAATAATTGACAAGAATAAGTATCTTATTTGTTGTCTCTCTCTTTCTAGACGCAAGTGAAGGAGATGGCGGACACAGACACGGAGACGCTGCCCAACGGGACGGGGGCCCCGATGGGGCCCCTCTCCGCCGAGGAGGAGGAGGAGAGGATGAAGCAGCGCCCCGCGGATATTGATGCTGTGAGTTAATGGACCACTTGGTCTCTGTTTCCTAAGGGCTGATAATCGTAAGCCTAATGTCTTTTTGACTTGTAAGGAACTCGCTTTCTTGGAAGAAACTCTCTCCTTTTCTTCAGAGGACCACGGGCTCTGGCCTACGTTGTCACCGAGTTACTGTGGCACGTGCGTAGCCAGGTTTGAGTATGGGGGGGGGGGGGGGGAGGGGGGTTAAAGAAAATAAAATTTCTGAAAGTGCATGCAATAACCTTTATATTAAGTATATGAAAAATATGATATGAAATATGTAAATAAATACTTTTGATAGGCCTTCACAATGCAGTCGTTAGCACCCACTAAATAGAGATTCTATTTCTATTTTGTTGGTAGATTTTCTTAATGTGCGGTAAACACAAAAGTAACGCATGAAGTTGACCAACTTCATGCTGTTAAAATTTTGTGTTACAGTGATGCGCGCGCATCTTAAAATTTCACTCTCATCATTTTTTCATAACGCGCTTAAAGAAGTATAACTTCAAAAAAAACGGCAAAGTGCGAGCGCACCGAAGGTTCCGTACAAACTCAATTTAATACCTCTACCCGTTCATGAGAAAAGAGGTAGTAACTTTAAAATTGTCAGAAATATTTTTTATTATACGAATCCAAAATACATTATTAGTGTAATAATTAGTAATGAAATAAGTTATGCCGCTCGCCTCTCCTTATTTTGATATTATTGATGTTGATATGAGGGGTCGATAAAGACCACTTTGGGAATCACTGATCTAGCAGTTGCATGCTTAAAAAAAACCATAATAGACGTTTTTCGATAACAAATAGACTTTTCTCGTCACCATTGATTGCAATGTGTCGAAACGGCCATCATACTGTGCCGCGACTATAAAGTTTCACAGGGTAAGTTCCTTCCATTATCTTTGTGTGTGTTTAAACTTAAAACCCATTTTGCATCGTGTCCCAGGACGTCCGCGAGATGGAGCGGCGCAAGCGCGTCGAAGCCCTCATGTCGTCGAAGCTGTTCCGCGAGGAGTTGGAGCGCGTGCTGGACCAGCAGATCCACGAGGGTAGCGACGCCCCCCTGCTGCAGCGCATCCGGGAGATGGTGGGGGGCAGGCTGCACACGGGCAGCGTGAGGGTGAGATGTAGTTCTGATAAACTTACCAGGTTACACAGGTCATCAGCGAGATGTAGCGGGCCACCATAACTAACTAGAGAAAGTACTAACTCGCCTCGTCGAGAGATGGCGCTACCGCAGCTGCATTCCTAAAAGTATGGAAGCCTACATCGCGCAAGTGAATTCGAAGAGTAACTCTTCATATATCGTTTTATTGCTTACTCTTTACGGCATAGGGATGTCGAAAGTTGAAAAAAATATCAATATATCGATATTTAAAAAAATATCAATATCGGCGAAAAAAACTCGATTTATCGATATATCGGACCAATTTTCCCAAAAATATATTTTTGTCAGCCTAACACAGTAATAATAACAATACAAATAATAATTAAAGAAAGAATTATCAAAGTACCAAATTGCCGCTACACTACATGACAGTACAGTATCTCACGAAAGATGACACGCGGAATAATAATGGAACGAAAATTATCTCCCTAAAAATAGACCCTATTTTCGAATGATGAAAATGATTGCAGGGTCTCTCAGGTGCCATCTTTCGTAAACAAGACTAGACAGTCACACACTTCCACAGAATATAATGGAATTCAGCACAACCAATTCACCAGCGAAACAGATTTACAAATCATAGACAATACTAAATACAGCACAGATCATAGATATGTTGAATATCATTAATCTGAGATCCAGTTACGATTTTTCCAGATACGAATTTAGTTAGATCGTGATATGCCGCTAATAATTAAAAAAATATCGTTTTTGATACGAATTTCGTTATTGATTATTTTGTATCGATGTATCGATATATCGAATCAAAATTGTATCGGCTAAAAATATCTATATATCGAACAAAAAATATCGATATATCGATACATTGATATATTTTCAACAAGCCTATCATGGCACCGACTATAAATATTGCCAATTTTACTTGGTGGTGGCTGGCAGGGGCTGGATGCGAGTAGCCCAAGATCGATCTGAGTGGCGTGCATTTGGAGAGGCCTATGTCCAGCAGTGGACTAAGATGGGCTGTTGATGATGATGATGATGAAATTTACTTGAATGAATAATAATAGGGTATTTGACAAGTTTTAGAAAACGATCTTACGTTATTGACTAATGTTTATGGAGTCCGTAAAAAGTGGATATTCATCATTCTGTTGTGTATTTCAGTAAAAATAACCAAATCAAAAACTCAATTTCCAAGTTGCCGCGAAAACGTATCTCTGCACAATATGGCGTCTTACTAGCGTGTGACGTCACACGACTGTTATTAAAACGTCAAACTATACAATTTAATGTCACTTTAACCGGAAGTTTACTTGCGTGTGGCGTCATTTTAGGCTCCGCCAATCCCAAGCGGTTTGGGTCACGTGACAATAGATAAGAAAACTATTACCTTTTTCGTTAGTTTTTAGTAAAATTATGAATAGCTTTTTAGTAAAAATAGTAAAAACCCCTGCCAATATTCATTCTAAACACAGATGCTAAGAATTGGGACTTTATTTTAACACTGTCAAATACCCTATTGCAATGATATTTTTGTCGTTCATTTTTATTTTCCGTCGGAATTTCTCTTCTGGTCACTGACAATGTTTCTCTCATTTCCCCAGGGCCCAGCGTGCGTCCTGCCCATCAACGACATCCGCGGCATAGAAGGCATCGGCTACGAGAAGGGCGAGAAGATCCTGCGATGCAAGCTGGCCGCCGTGTACCGGCTTGTAGACCTGTTCGGGTGGACGCAGAGTGAGTCATTTAAAGCAATGGTTTTTGGAGTTTACTCCTTAAGAATCGATTTGCATATATAAGGGGCCCGGTATGAGAAAAATGTGAGGAGTGAAATCTATCGATGAATGTCATTAATGACCTCGTTACGTTTTTGTGGGCAACCTCATCTGCGCACCTTTCACTTTTAAGCCATGGCAACGGATAAAAAACATTAAGTTGTCACAAATGTCAATAAAATAAATAAACTAAAAATAGATAAAATCGGAGCAAAATTAATGAAAGTAATTAAAAAAAGAATTAGGTGTCCAGCACTCTGGAATAGTGTTTTCAGTACAGATGGAATTATAATACATATTTACAAAATTATAGTGTGTGATATTTTTGAAATTGTGTGTTTCTAGAAATACATAATAAAATATGAATGATGAATATCGCTGATGTTAGATGATAAAACGTGTGACATGGAACCTATGATAGTCGAAACCATGGGACGATTCCTGAGGTATCTCTACTTGTAACCGACTTCTTCGGACTTGATTTTGTTTTGTGTCTGTTCAAAGACAATCGTTTTTAGAGTGTAAACTCCGGTCGTGCGTCGGAGCTGACACACACATTTTTTTTTATCCTTCCCTGGCGGGTGTTATATCCTCATGGATACCTACAGCGGGCAAATTTGTATTACCTAATGTAAATCAGGTAAATACCAGTGTGAATGTAAAGGATAGCAATGTGGGCCTTGTAGACACCACAGTATTCTTAGGGATAACTTTAGATTCTAAGCTTCAATGGGGCCTACATTTTGATAAATTGTCAAATAGACTTAACTCTGCAGCATATGCCGTAATGAAGATACGCCAGTTAACGGATGACCTCCGTAACCGAGTGGTTTGTACGCCGGGACCTCTACTCGAGAGGTCCCGGTGGGGGCAGATGTTTGTGTGATGAATACGAGCATTTGTACTCCAGTCATGGATGTCTAATATGTATTTCTATGTAAATATACTTACATGTTCTGTATATGTATTCTTATCCGTTACCCTAGCGTCCCATTACACAAGCCTTACAGTGCTTACTTTGGGGCTAGGCTAATTGGTGTGAGTGTTGGAAATATCGAGGAGCTCGATGGCGCAACTGGTTAGCGCGTTTGGCTGCGATCGTTGAAGTAAAGCAACTTTCGCAGTGGTCGGTTATTGGATGGGTGACCAAAAAATTTACTATCTCGAGCCCCTCCGTGCGGCGGAAGGCACGTTAAGCCGTTGGTCCCGGCTGCATCTGCAGTCGTTAGCACCCGCCAATCCGCACTGGGCCCGCGAGGTGGGTCATGGCCTAATCTCCCTATTCCATCCATAGGGAAGGCCTGTGCCCCAGCAGTGGGGACATTAATAGGCTGATGATGATGATGTTGGAAATATTTATTTATTTATTATTTAAAATGTAATGCGTCATGTATGTTGTACACCTCACCTCACAGATGTGCCTTAATAAACGAATATCCCCCTTTCCTGGGCAGCCGGCATCAACGGTCAGATCACGGGGCGCCTCAACACGGCGGTGGAGCAGGTGCTGACCACCCCGCGGGGGCTGCTGCCGCACGAGGTGACCGCCTCCTCACTCGTCAAGGTCGACATGCAGGGCACCGTGCAGGACCAGGGCACCACCAACCTGCCCGTCAATGTCGAGGGTAACTTATCAAAATATATATTACTAGCTTTTGCCCGCGACTTCGTCTGCGTGTAATTCGAATAAAAGCAAGGTCAATATCTTTATAAATTATAGCCTATGTGTTATTCTGATCTATAAGCTACATTACTGTAAAGTTTCATTAAAATCCGTTTAGTAGTTTTTGCGTGAAAGAGGAACAAACATCCATCCATACATCCATCCAAACAAACTTTCGCCTTTATAATATTAGTAAGGATAGAGAGAAAATTCAAAATCCTAGCGAGAAAATTAATATATATTTCTTATCGAGAATATTGATATATTTCTTAGTGAGAATATTGATATATTTCTTAGTGAGAATATTGATATATTTCTTAGTGAGAATATTGATATATTTCTTAGTGAGAAAATAAATTTATTTCTTAAAGAGACAGATAATTTCCTGCATGATACATGTGTATCATGCAGGAAATTATCTGTCTCTTCTCTATTATCTATCTCAAAACACGAGCATGTGCTTTAAGCTAGAATTTAACACTCGAGATTCAAATGCACTCCACGAAATTTATGGACAAGTCATTTGTAGTTCAGGCTGCTCGTTTGTGGAATGCCTTGCCGGAAACAATCAGAGGTGCTAAAACATTACCTTGTTTTAAAAATATGTTAAAGGAACAGTCATCACATTATCCAAAGTATGATTAAATTGTTATTGTTTTTATATATGGATATATTATGTTTATGTATTTGTATTTTATTTTATTTTCTGTTGTACATAATTATATATAAGTATTATTAATGGTAGTTTCACTTTAAATGACACCATCTACTTTCCACTCTATATGTAACAATCCAGTTAACATATGGTTGTCTGGAAGAAATTGCTTCTTAGTGATAAGGCCGCCGTTTGTACTATACTGTGATAGTCTTAATTAATTGTAATTTACAATCTCATGGTGTACAATAAAGTTATTCATTCATTCATTCATAATTGATATATTTCTTTAAGAGTAAATTAATATATATATTTTTAGTGAGAAAATTCTCTCGTTCCTCTGTGCTTCGGAAGGCACTTTAAGCCGTCAGTCCCGGCTCAGTCAGTGGTGGGTCACGGCCCGGTCTCCTTATTCCATCCAAAGGTTTAGGCTTTGCTTCAGTGGGGGAAACATTAACACACCAAGCAATATCCAAGAGTTAGCCATAAATAAATTTAAAGATATTATAAAAAAAACACTTATTAAAAAAGCTTATTACAAAGTGTCTGATTATATTACAGACAAAAATGCTTGGGTTTGAACTGTTCCAATCATTCCAACAGGTTTTCTATATTAAATAAATCATAATTGTATTGACACTGTAACAACATAATGATTTGTAAATGTTGTTACATTAGACTTTTAATGTTGTGGAGTTTTTTTCGCTCGCTTTTCTGCGCAGCTAAAAAATATGTCCATAACGAGTGGTAGGGGAAAAAAGTTTTTGGATGATACAAAAGAATTGTACTATACATCCAATTTGAATAAAGATATATTGATTTCTGATCTCTGATTTCATCAATAGGCTGATGATAATGATGGCGATGAGTCGATTTCGCTCTGTCATGCTCTCTTAAAAGTCTCTTCGGTGGTGTCGTGTGAGGCGGGTCGTTACGTTCCCTAAAATATGGTTGAGCGAAGCGATGGCTGGTTCATGCGTCATGCTCTTGAACGGGTGCTGCCAGCGGAGATGAGTCTGCCCTAACTACTTTGATATTTAAGATATAAATGTTTAATTACACCTATTATAAATAACTCTGTTTGTATTTATACTCTGTGACACAGCAATCAAAATGCAGGTGTACAATTAATGTATAATTTCACATTATGTAATGAAGGGTGACTTCATGAATCATCTCTGAAGTCATTTTTCAACTCGACGACTCTGTAAATGATAAAACAGGGAGAAAAGAACAGCCCTTGCTGAGTTTGTTGCCGGTTCTTCTCGGTACAAGGTCTCCCGCCGTAGATTTACGAACCGATGGCGTAGCTTCTAGACATTGATATGTGCTTGTAACAGCCTAAACTGAATAAATGATTTTGTAAAACTAGTTTAAACGGGATAATGCACGAAACTTTATTTATTTATTGACGTTTCGTAGCCTTTCCAGGCTTCGTCGTCAGAATAAAACTTTTGTTTAATTTGTCGAGCTACCTTCGAAAGACTTTTATTACGGTAGTTTACGGTAGTTAGGGTCAAATAAATAAACGCAAAATTACAAACAAGAATTTTAAATAAAATACTTTATTAAGTAAATTAAATAATAAATTCATACATAGACAATAAAACTTAAAAATCGAACGATGAAATAACCAAACGCTCAATAAAAGTCTTTCGAAGGTAGCTCGACAAATTAAACAAAAGTTTTATTCTGACGACGAAGCCTGGAAAGGCTACGAAACGTCAATAAATAAATAAAGTTTCGTGCATTATCCCGTTTAAACTAGTTTTATTTAATGAGTGATGTGCGTGAAAACCTAAGAAACAAATAAATGATTTTGATTATTGATCACTGATCACTGATCGTTGGCAGGGTTCTCGCTGCACGCGGCGGTGCACGCGGCGCGGCCCGACGTGCGGTGCGTGCTGCACGTGCGGTCGGGGCCGGCGCTGGCCGTGTCCAGCACCGTGGGGGGGCTGCTGCCGCTGTGCCACGAGGCGGCGCTGCTGGGGCCCATAGCCTACCATCGCGCGCCGCCAGGTGACGGGAGAAACATTTTTTTTTATAGTTATAATTTTTATTATTTTCAAAGCATGTAACTGCTTGATGTTTAAATCTAAAGAAAATATAACTAGAAAAAATTCCACGCGGACCAGGCAGCGGACGGGACTCGAACCCGCACCCTTCGCAATCCGGGCGAATGCACTGACCAATTATGCTATAAGAATAGCTAGAAAGAATTTCGACGCGGTCCGTGAGGGCCGCGGTAGCATGATTGGTCAGTGCATTCGCCCGGATTGCGAAGGGTGCGGGTTCGAGTCCCGTCTGCTGCCTGGTCCGCGTGGAATTTTTTCTAGTTATATTTTCTTTAGATTTTTTTTTATGTTATAGCTGGCATACAAGCAGACGGCTCACCTGATGGTAAGTGATCACCGTCGCCCATGGACACTTGCGACACCAGGAGTATCACAAATGCGATGCCGGCCTTTAAGGAAAGATTGAGCTCTTTTTTTGAAGGTTCTTGGGTCGTGTTGGTCCGGAAACACTGCTGGCGATGACATATTCCACAGTTTTGTCGTACGTGTTAAAAAATTTCGACAAAAACGCACGGTTGTGGATAGCCACGCATCAAGATGAACTCATCAACAATCCAAAAATCCTAGTATATTTTTTTTTTAATATTTCCAATACACACCAATTAGCCTAGCCCCAAAGTAAGCACTGTAAGGCTTGTGTTATGAGAAACTAGGGTAACGGATAGAATACATATACTGTAAAATACATATTATAACATCCATGACTGGAGTACAAATGCTCGTATTCATCACACGAACATCTGCCCCCACCGGGATTCGAACCCGGGGACCTCTCGATTCGGCGACACCATGAAATCCGGCGTACAAACCACTCGGCCACGGAAGTCGTCTAGTCTTGGATTTAGCGCGTTCGGCTGCGATCGTTGAAGTTAAGCAACTTTCGCAGTGGTCGGTCGTTGGATGGATGACCAAAAATTCACTATCTCGAGCTCCTCCGTGCTTCGGAAGGCACGTTAAGCCGTTGTTCCCGGCTGCATCTGCAGTCGTTAGCACCCACCGATCCGCACTGGGCCCGCGTGGTGGGTCATGGCCTGATCTCCCTATTCCATCCATAAGGAAGGCCTGTGCCCCAGCAGTGGGGACATTGAAAGCTTGATGATGATGATGATGAGTCTAAGATTAAAATAAAAAGGGTAGATGCGGCATTAGCCTCACAAAAGTGTTCCGCGTAAATTGTGGCCCGAGACCACGATCGCTTCAGTCACAACTTGACATGCAAACGACGTACATGTGAACGCCGAAAAGACATATTGCTAATATTTTGTGTTTATATGATAAAACGATGCCTCGGTGTGTTTTTAAAAAGTGCTCGAATTGCTCGAAAACTGAAAATAAAACCCACGCCATCGCTTTTCATTCGTAAGTACTATAAAATATATTTTTTGACGTGACAACGTCTTAAATTAGGTTGCGGCTGGGAGTCACTTATGAAAAAGTGTAACGCTCGGTAACGTTACGATGAGTCTCGTAGCATGCTGGAACCCCGTAGCCGTGTAGCAAGTTTGCTACGAATCGTCGTAGCGTGGTTGCATGCTACGATGGTATTCACAAGCACAATGCATTGTAATATGTTTTTTTGACGTATTATATATATTTCTATAGTTAAAATTTGTGCAATTCTTATTTTCATTCAATTCCTTGTTCCTATTGTGCAATTTAATTATATTCATATCAATAAATATTCTACCGAGAAAAAGACGTTGTCACGTAAAATCTTCGCCCGTAAAACCGACTTTACAGGCAACCATTTTTTCATTAAAATTGCTGTTTGTTTTGAATCTTATTCGGTAGTGACGTCGAGTACTGGTCGCGTGATTGGTCGGTAATGCAGCGACGCGGATCTCGCCGTCTCGTTCGCGCTGCCGTTGAAACTTAAATTGCTGTTTCGTTCGTTCAATGAGGGCTATCGTTTTTTGTCTCACCAGATGGCGCCACTGTTGAGTGAGGTCCTGAAGTGTAACTTTTAAAGTTAGTAAACACGCTCGTGATATCAAAGTATACATTTCAATACAAAAGAATCGTATCTTAAACATAATCGCCCATGCCACAGTGTTGCGCAGTCCCGTTTTGTTCGGAAAAAAGAAGGACAATATTTTTTCTTAGCTCCGCTTTTAAATAACTGACAATCATTGACACGTAACTCATATTTGCCATAATAAGTCTGATTTATTACCAAATATTCACAACTATTATTTTAATAATTTGATTATTGAGGAGCTCGATGGTGCAGGTGGCTAGCGCGTTCGGCTGCGATCGTTGAAGTTAAGCAACTTTCGCAGTGGTCGGTCATTGGATGGGTGACCAAAAATTTACTATCTCGAGCTCCTCCGTGCTTCGGAAGGCACATTAAGCCGTTGGTCCCGGCTGCATTTGCAGTCGTTAGCACCCACCTATCCGCACTGGGCCCGCGTGGTGGGTCATGGCCCAATCTCCGTATTCCATCCATAGGGAAGGCCTGTGCCCCAGCAGTGGGGACATTAATAGGCTGATGATGATGATGATTATTTTAATTAGAAAAAAACCGCGTAGTCACCCCGCAAGCTATAACATTTGACATTTAGGAGACCTCACGCAACACAAGCGCCTCTAGCGGCGGTTTCAGACGCGATAGCCCTCATTGTATCTTTACAAACAGGTGGATGTGTGAGTGTTGCATATGTAGTAAAGTGGGATCAGTTTTTGTTTGATGCAAGTATGAGCGTACCGTATCTACCCTTTTTGTTTTAATCTAAGAGTATATAGGGATGTCGAAAGTTGAAAAAAATATCGATATATCGATACATCGATCTTTTAAAAAATATCAATATCGGGTTCGATATATCGCGAAAAACACATCGATATATCGGACCAATTTCCCAAAAATATCGTACAGTAGCTCACGAAATATGACACGCGGAATAGACCCTATTTCGCATGATGAAAATGATTGCAGGGCCTCTCAGGTAAATGATTGCAGGGTCTCTTTCGTTAATAAGACTAGACAGTCACACACTTCACAGAATATAATGGAAATCAGCACAACCAATTCACCAGCGAAACAGATTTACAAATAATAGACAATATTAAATACAGCAGAGATCATAGATATCTTCAATATCATTAATCTGAGATCGAGTTACGATTTTTCCAGATACGAATTTAGTTAGATCGTGATATGCCGCTAATAATTAAAAAAATATCGTTTTTGATACGAATTTCGATATTGGTTATTTTGTATCGATGTATCGATATATCGAATCAAAATATATCGGCAAAAAATATCGATATATAGATACATCGATATATTTTCAACAAGCCTAAGAGTATAGTGCGATTCAAATAAGAATAGGAAAGCCAATGACCTCCATCTGTCAAATGTCGCTTGAAAAGTACGCATTGCAAAAAAATCTTGGAACCCCTTTTTCAGCACTCTGCTAATTCTAGAATAAAAACCAAACATTTTTATATAAGGGGCATTCCACGCGAAGCGGACAGGTTAAAAAAACTCGATGTTTCCGATTTCAGTAATATTTGAGTATGTTCTACTTATACTTATTATTGATACGTGTACCAAATATTTTTGTGATATAATGACTAGTTAAAGAGTAATGTTACTTTGAAGTTTTCGACAACCGGTTGGCACGCAGTACTTCAAAGCCGATTATGGACTCATAAAATTATATATTAAAATAACTAAACCACTGGATTTCCTACTTTATTTACTGGGCTTTTTAACTGTGTTTTTGGAAAAGAAAAAACAAATTTTTTTTCGTAAAAAAAACCAATTTAAGTTTTTTTCCTTGATTTTCACCAAGTTAGACCATTTAGTTTTTTTTTATTTTTTTTTATATAAATTGCTAATATTGTATGGAACATTGGTGCCAACTTTTATAATGGGCGTGAAAGTGGATTAGGAGCTACACTGAAAATACTGCCGAGGGGTGGCGTCCAGCGCCGCGCCTGTTGACCGCCGCTTGTGCGCGATTAGTCATCAAACTGTCAATCAAATAAAATCACTTTTGACGGAATGTTTTGTAGATTTTTAATAAAACCAATACATAGAAAAAATTCCACGCGGACCAGGCAGCAGACGGGACTCGAACCCGCACCCTTCGCAATCCGGACGAATGCACTGACCAATTATGCTACTGCGGCCCTCACGGATAGCGTCGAAATTCCTCTAGCCATTCTTAAGCTGCAAGGCAGCGCCATCTCTTCGCATTATAGGTAACCCACAATGTCAAATGAATACTTTTACAAGTATTAAACATTTGAAAGAAGAAATAGCAATTATAGTTATATTTTTTATTTCTTTAAAGCATGTAACTGCTTGATGTTTAAATCTAAAGAAAATATAACTAGAAAAAATTCCACGTGGACCAGGCAGCAGACGGGACTCGAACCCGCACCCTTCGCAATCCGGGCGAGTGCAGGTTCGAGTACCGTCTGCTGCCTGGTCCGCGTGGAATTTTTTCTATGTATTGGTTTTATTAAAAATCTACAAAACATTCCGTCAAAAGTGATTTTATTTGATTGACAGTTTGATGACTAATCGCGCACAAGCGGCGGTCAACAGGCGCGGCGCTGGACGCCACCCCTCGGCAGTATTTTCAGTGTAGCTCCTAATCCACTTTCACGCCCATTATAAAAGTTGGCACCAATGTTCCATACAATATTAGCAATTTATATAAAAAAAAATAAAAAAAAACTAAATGGTCTAACTTGGTGAAAATCAAGGAAAAAAACTTAAATTGGTTTTTTTTAGGAAAAAAATTTTTTTTTTCTTTTCCAAAAACACAGTTAAAAAGCCCAGTAAATTAAGTAGGAAATCCAGTGGTTTAGTTATTTTAATATATAATTTTATGAGTCCATAATCGGCTCTGAAGTACTGCATGCCAACCGGTTGTCGAAAACTTCAAAGTAACATTACTCTTTAACTAGTCATTATATCACAAAAATATTTGGTACACGTATCAATAATAAGTATAAGTAGAACATACTCAAATATTACTGAAATCGGAAACATCGAGTTTTTTTACCTGTCCGCTTGGCGTGGAATGCCCCATAAACAATAACAAATATTTATAAATAATATTGGTTGCTATTTTTTTCTGAGCTTTGGCTATGAATTATTGATAACCTAAATTGTCAAACAAATGTTATTTTAAGTAGCATTCAAATACTCGATTTAAACTTTCGTTTACATAAAGAATGGATGTAATACAGTGATGAGCGGAATTGAAGACCTAGATTCTGATTAATGTTTTTTCTCACAGTCTAAATAAATAAATACTAGCAAACCAGTGAACCAAATGTTCACAAAAAAAATAATGTATTTAATTAATTGAGAACTTCGGAGATTTTGTGTGGTTTCGTTTGAAATTCGTGATTTTTCGAAAACCGGAAGTGCTACGTTACTCAAATCCGGTTTGTAGTCTTATCAGACTATTCTTAACTTATAACTTAAACATTCTCTTTATCTATCTCTTACGGTTTGGCCGCTGAAACAGCACCACAGACAGACGGACGGACTTGTAATAGATAAGAGATTATTAAAGATCGGCTGTTTTTCTTTCTCAATCTTAGTAAATAAATTTTATTAAAAAAATCTGATGTTTTCTCACTTAATTTTCGTAAATAAGTTTTATTAGATAAAAACTTTATTTTGCTCACTCTACTTATTTGGTTTGATTTGACAGCTATGACGTCACAATAATTATGGCGCCCAGTCGGTCCTATTCCTAGTTGAATCGCATTATACTTCACAAAGGACACCCGGCATTTTGTGTCACAGTTGTATACTTTTTTAATTTTTTTATCTGTGTTTCATAATTGGGTAACGTAGTCTGGCAATATTTGTCATCAGCAGCTCGCTGTCAATGTCAAATACGTAGGTTTGTCATCAAAAGGGTTTCTATATCAAAAAATATTAATCATTAAATAACTTCTTTCCACGGTTCACTATAAATAAGGCAAAAGTAGTTTTATGTAGCAAATAATTATGGCTTTATTTTGAGACCAAATTCAACTGTATACAAGTTTAGCATTTCTTCTATGAAAAGTGCCGGGTCTCCTTTCAGTCTTATTTACTTGTTGGTTTTGAGTGATGCATTGACGAAAATTGATACAGTTTGCTGTGAAGGGTTTCTAGATAGAATCATTTAAGAGTGTTCTCAATGTACCTGTCTAAGCCTGTCTCGCTAGACTCGTCGAGGTGTCTTTAAAGTGTGGTTTCGTCATTTTTACGCGGTTCCAAGTATTGATATCTCGTACATTATAACTTTTTCGGGTTGTCTACCGTCACTTTGACGACTTCCGTGGCCGAGTGGTTTGTACGCCGGGTTTCATGGTGTCGCCGACTCGAGAGGTCCCGGGTTCGAATCCCGGTGGGGGCAGATGTTTGCGTGATGAATACGAGCATTTATACTCCAGTCACGGATGTTTAATATGTATTTCTATATAAATATATATAGAGGAGCTCGATGGCGCAGGTGGCTAGCGCGTTCGGCTGCGATCGTTGAAGTTAAGCAACTTTCGCAGTGGTCGGCCATTGGATGGGCATTTGCAGGCGTTAGCACCTACCAATCCGCACTGGGCGCGCGTGGTGGGTCATGGCCCAATCTCCCTATTCCATCCATAGGGAAGGCCTGTGCCCCAGCAGTGGGGACATTAATAGGCTGATGATGATGATGATGAAGATATAAATATACTTTTCATACATGCACTGTATATGTATTCCATCCGTTACCCTAGCATCCCATAAAACAAGCCTTATAGTGCTCACTTTGGGGCTAGGCTAATCGGTGTGAATGTTGGAAATCTCTTATCTATTAGACAAGTCCGTCCGTCCGTCTGTGGTGCTGTTTCAGCGGCCAAACCGTAAGAGATAGATAAACAGAATATTTAAGTTATAAGTTAAGAATACTCTGATAAGACTACAAACCGGATTTGAGTAACGTAGCACTTCCGGTTTTCGAGAAATCACGAATTTCAAACGAAACCACACAAAATCTCCGAAGTTCTCAATTAATTAAATACATTTTTTTTTTAAATCAGGTTTTGGTGAACATTTGGTTCACTGGTTTGCTAGTATTGGAAAATTTGTTATTGTTCCGTCATGGTCACCCGTGTAGGTCTGCTGGACAACGAAGAGCGCGACAAGCTGGTCCGAGCCCTGGGCCCCAGCGCCCGGGTGCTGATACTGTCGTGTGGCGGAGTCCTGTGAAGTTTTCTAGATAGATCCATTTTAAAGTGTCTTCAATGTACCTGTCTAAGCCTGTCTTGCTAGACAACTAGACTTCTTGCGGTGTCTTTAAAGTATGGTCTCGTCATGTTTACATGGTTCCAAGTATTGATTTGTGTTACATTACAACTTTTTGGGTTGTCTACCGCCAAGATTTTTAGTTTTTTTTAAACAACACACATTAAATCTAAAGAAAAGTTTACTAGAAAAAAATCCACGCGGACCCGGCGGCCGACGGGACTCGAACAACCCGCACCTGTTTAATACTTGAAAATTAGCTTGGCCCCAGCGCCCGGGTGCTAATGCTGTCATGCGGCGGAGTGTTATGAAAGTTTCTAGATAGATCCATTTTAAATGAGATCGTCTCTTCTCTTTGTCGCACTATTCGTAAGTGGAATTCTTTGTCCGCGCACGCGTTCCCTCGATCTGGGGTCCTTTAAAAGAGGCGTGCGGAAGCATTTTCTCTCATGTATTCCATCCGTTACCCTAGCATTTATTAATCTGTCATCATTTCGTATGTCACTCGCGTAGGTCTGCTGGATAACGAAGAGCGCGACAAGCTGGTCCGAGCCCTGGGCCCCAGCGCCCGGGTGCTGATGCTGTCTTGCGGCGGAGTCCTGTGCTGCGGCGCCACCGTGGAGGAGGCGTTCCAGCAGGCGCGGCAGGTGACCGCGGCCTGCGACGTGCAGCTGAGGCTGGCCGCGCTGCCCAGGGACCAGCTGCTGGTCATGGACGACGACACCAGGAGCAAGGTGATGGGGGGGGGGGGGGGGGGGGGCGCGGCAGGTGACCGCGGCCTGCGACGTGCAGCTGAGGCTGGCCGCGCTGCCCAGGGACCAGCTGCTGGTCATGGACGACGACACCAGGAGCAAGGTGATGGGGGGGGGGGGAGGGGGGGGCGCGGCAGGTGACCGCGGCCTGCGACGTGCAGCTGAGGCTGGCCGCGCTGCCCAGGGACCAGCTGCTGGTCATGGACGACGACACCAGGAGCAAGGTGATGGGGGGGGGGGGAGGGGGGGGCGCGGCAGGTGACCGCGGCCTGCGACGTGCAGCTGAGGCTGGCCGCGCTGCCCAGGGACCAGCTGCTGGTCATGGACGACGACACCAGGAGCAAGGTGATGGGGGGGGGGGGGAGGGGGGGGCGCGGCAGGTGACCGCGGCCTGCGACGTGCAGCTGAGGCTGGCCGCGCTGCCCAGGGACCAGCTGCTGGTCATGGACGACGACACCAGGAGCAAGGTGATGGGGGGGGGGGGAGGGGGGGGGCGCGGCAGGTGACCGCGGCCTGCGACGTGCAGCTGAGGCTGGCCGCGCTGCCCAGGGACCAGCTGCTGGTCATGGACGACGACACCAGGAGCAAGGTGATGGGGGGGGGGGGGGGGGGGGGGGCGCGGCAGGTGACCGCGGCCTGCGACGTGCAGCTGAGGCTGGCCGCGCTGCCCAGGGACCAGCTGCTGGTCATGGACGACGACACCAGGAGCAAGGTGATGGGGGGGGGGGAGGGGGGGGCGCGGCAGGTGACCGCGGCCTGCGACGTGCAGCTGAGGCTGGCCGCGCTGCCCAGGGACCAGCTGCTGGTCATGGACGACGACACCAGGAGCAAGGTGATGGGGGGGGGGAGGGGGGGGCGCGGCAGGTGACCGCGGCCTGCGACGTGCAGCTGAGGCTGGCCGCGCTGCCCAGGGACCAGCTGCTGGTCATGGACGACGACACCAGGAGCAAGGTGATGGGGGGGGGGGAGGGGGGGGCGCGGCAGGTGACCGCGGCCTGCGACGTGCAGCTGAGGCTGGCCGCGCTGCCCAGGGACCAGCTGCTGGTCATGGACGACGACACCAGGAGCAAGGTGATGGGGGGGGGGGGGGGGGGGGGCGCGGCAGGTGACCGCGGCCTGCGACGTGCAGCTGAGGCTGGCCGCGCTGCCCAGGGACCAGCTGCTGGTCATGGACGACGACACCAGGAGCAAGGTGATGGGGGGGGGGGAGGGGGGGGCGCGGCAGGTGACCGCGGCCTGCGACGTGCAGCTGAGGCTGGCCGCGCTGCCCAGGGACCAGCTGCTGGTCATGGACGACGACACCAGGAGCAAGGTGATGGGGGGGGGGGAGGGGGGGGCGCGGCAGGTGACCGCGGCCTGCGACGTGCAGCTGAGGCTGGCCGCGCTGCCCAGGGACCAGCTGCTGGTCATGGACGACGACACCAGGAGCAAGGTGATGGGGGGGGGGGGGGGGGGGGGCGCGGCAGGTGACCGCGGCCTGCGACGTGCAGCTGAGGGTGGCCGCGCTGCCCAGGGACCAGCTGCTGGTCATGGACGACGACACCAGGAGCAAGGTGATGGGGGGGGGGGGGAGGGGGGGGGGCGCCACCGTGGAGGAGGCGTTAGGCTACTGGTGATAGGCTACTTGGGGGCCATTCAAGTATTACGTAAGCACTATAGGGGGGCAGGGGGGTTTTTGCATTGAAATGAAACGAAAAAAACCTTTATTGGCCATCTTACATAATAAAAATACTATAAATATGAACAAAAAATAAAAGAAGAACTTAACCTAACAAAAAATAACAATGTAAAACTAAAGGACCCTGCCTCAGCTTATGCTGACACAGTGGGAGAATACTCTCTCACTGTACCAGCGCTGGTATTCTGGCAGAGCCTGTGCGAGGACGTGTTAGGTAGTGTTGGGTAGGACACGACTTGAAAAAGAGTTTGTAAGAGTAGCCTCTTTTTTGTACTGAGCCAGTACAATGTCCCACTTCAAATGAGGCGAGGCGTACTGAAGCTCGGCAATACATTTGAAGTGACGAGTACAAATATGACATTGAGGCGTACAGAAGCTCATCATTACGTTTGTGTGCACGAGTAGCACCTGGAGCGTAAGTTCTGAACGCAACCCTGGGCTGCGTTCAATACCTACGCTCTGAGTGCAACTTTTACCCTGACGTTGCAATTTTGACATAAAATGTATGAAGCTAATGTCAACTTAGATATTTGTTGCACCTAGAGCGTAGGTTTTGAACGCAACCCAGTGCGAGTGACAAGGATTAGGAACGAGAGATAGAGATACAGATGGATAGTGCGTAGAGGACTTAAATGAAATGTCATGCCTCGCTCTCTCTCAGACTTACGAAGAGTGAGTGAGTAACGAGACGCGACTATCGCGACATTTAATGTGAAGTAGTACATTTTAAAATTTTGAGCCGCTCTTACATTTTGACGTCATGTCCGGGACAAATGTACCGCCTCTTGTAAGTCCTACTCAACACTAGTGTTAGGCGCTAACAAGTAACAAAACAATACATTTATGCTTAAGTAATCATATTGTATGCATTGCTTATTTTTGATGACATGGGGGGGGGGGGGGGTCGAGATAGTGATTACGTCAGCATCATAAATTCAAGTGTCATGGACTGAAGACTACATACATATACCAAAAATTCGAAAAAAATTTGTTCGTTATAGTACCTTACTCTATGTTGAATATTGTGTCAATAAAGTTTGTTTAAATGAATAATAAATGCGTTAAAGCCCTCTATCCTAAGCCTATTTAAGTACTGCTGCTCATAAAAGCTCATGATTCAATAAAAAAAAAATGGTTGCCTGTAAAGTCGGTTTTACGGGCGAAGATTTTACGTGACAACGTCTTTTTCTCGGTAGAATATTTATTGATATGAATATAATTAAATTGCACAATAGGAACAAGGAATTGAATGAAAATAATTATTGCACAAATTTTAACTATAGAAATATATTTTGTTTACTAAAACATTGTACATGTAAACTTAAACTTAACACGAGAGACTCATCGTAACGTTACCGAGCGTTACACTTTTTCATAAGTGACTCCCAGCCGCAACCTAATTTAAGACGTTGTCACGTCAAAAAACAGAATACATTAAAGGAAAAATGCATATAGGTACCAATGTTTACGTAAGCACGTGAGGGGGAGGGGAGGATTGTTGAAGTTAAGCAACTTTCGCAGTGGTCGGTCATTGGATGGGTGACCTTACTATCTCGAGCTCCTCCGTGCTTCAAAAGGCACGTTAAGCCGTCGGTCCCGGTTGTATCTGCAGTCGTTGGCACCCACCAATCCGCACTGGGCCCGCGTGGTGGGTCATGGCCCAATCTCCCTGTTCCATCCATAGAGAAGGCCTGTGCCCCAGCATTGGGGACATTAATAGGCTGATGATGATGAAAACTAGTTTTAACGGGTTAATGCGCGAAACTTTATTTATTTTTATGACGTTTCGCAGCCTTTTCAAGTCTGCATCGTCAGAATAAAGTGTTTTTTTTTATTTAATTTTGTCGAGCTATTTTTGAAAGACTTTTATTGAGCGTTCGATTATTTCAGTGGAAATTTTTTAAATTTATTTTGTTATCTATGTATGAATTTATTAGTTCATTTAGTTAATAAAGTAGCTCAGCTTTTCGTACGTCTCAGTCGATGCGTAAATATTTTTCTGTCTCGGATCTATATTTTTTTTATTAAATATTACACTTAAAATAACATGTATTTTATGTAACACTTACACATTTATTCACAACCTTTTTTTTTTACATATGAAATAAAATATTTACAATCACAAAAATAGAAAGAGACTCAATAATGTAGACGAAATCAAAATACTGTGGGCGGGCAGCCCTACCGCGTGTTAACGCCCCGCTCGGCCGTAGGCAGTTATTTCAAGGACAGAGCCGAGTCACAATACTGTATAGATAATATTACCGTGGTACGGATAGTATTGTCATTATGTCTTTATACCTGCATTTTTTACCAAATAGCACGTCTGTCCGTACGTTTGTCAATAAGGGGTATTAGTTTAAACAACTTTTTGTTTAATTAATGTTTTGTTTTGTTAGATCTACGAATCTTCTCGCAAACCGCCCGCGGACGCGACAAAGTGGCGCGTCGGCGGTGAGGAGTTCGAAGCACTCATGCGCATGCTCGACAACGCCGGGTTCCGCACCGGATATATATACAGGCATCCGCTCATCAAGGTCAGTGATATAACTTCGTACCGCTATAAAAAAATAGGGATTCGTGATAGAAAGGTGAATCTTTAGGGTTATATGTATTTACTAATGCTGTATCATAAAAAAAAAATAAAAAAAATATCTAAAATGAAAAAAAAAATAGGGGTGGATTACCCTTAACATTAAGGGGGATGAAAAATAGATGTTGTCCTATTCTCAGACCTACCCAATATGCACACAAAATTTCATGAGAATCAGGAAAGCCGTTTCGGAGGAGTTTAACCACGAACACCGCGACACGAGAATTTTATATATTAGATAAATCTTTATTTTGTAAGGGGCTGTCAACGATATTAAATACCCTAGATACACCAACACGAACAAAATCGTGGCCGAAACCTGTCCAAAAGGAATATCTTAAACCTCACCATGTATCACCAAGGGGGGAGGGGGTTAAAAATTCCAAAAAATACATCCCGTGATTAATGTGCGGTCCCTAACAAAGATACATGAAAATACAGGTCTTAATGCTAATGTACAGTATCACTTGATCCTACCTTTTCATAGATGTATATTTTTTTGTTAGAACGACGTGCCGAAGCCGAAGAACGACGTGGAGGTACCGCCCGCGGTCTCCTCCCTCGGTTATCTTCTAGAAGAAGAGGAGCTGTATAGGCAGGGGTGAGTCCAAACTTCAAATCTCAATATTTTTCCTTCGGATTTACACCTGTAAATCCGTGCAGTTTGATCCAACTCGAAAGATAGGATAGCTTACATCTCAATGAGGGCTATCGCGTATGAATCCGCCGCTAGAGGCGCTAGTGTAGCGTGAGGTCTCCGAAATGTCAAATGTTATTGCTTGTTGGTTGACTACGCGGGTTTATTTCTAATTAAAATAATGTTGCGAATAATTGGTAACAATTCGGCTTAATTATGGCAAATATGAGTTATGTGGCAATGAATGTCAGTTATTAAAAATTTGAGCTTAGAAAAATGATTATGTTCCCATTTTTTCCGAATAAAACGGAACTGGGCGTCACTGTGGCATGGCCTATTATGTTTAGGATATGGTTCATTTGTGTTAAAATACGATCTAAATGTAACCTTTGATTTCATGTGCGTATTAATAAACTTTAAAAGTTACAATTTAGGACCTCACTCAACAGTGGCGCCATCTGGTGAGACAGAAAACGGTAGCCTTCATTATATTCGCAATATTATTTTATTGGAAATTATTACTTTTGGGCGGTATGAAGTTCGCAGAGTCAGCTAATATGTATACAGTGGTGGTCACATAATTGAAGACATTCCCTAATTGACCACAAAGGGGCCGTTCATAAAATACGTCACGCTAAAATCAGCTTTTTCCGACCCCCTCCCCCCCTATTGTCACGCTGTGTCACACTTTCTGTGACCCCTCTTGAAATATTCCGTCACAAAAACGCTCCCCCTCCCCAAGTATGATTAATTTCAATTGATAGTACACAAATTTTAAGAATTTAAATATTTATTTAGGTTTTATAATAAAATTTAAATATATAAATATGCGCTAATGTCGAAAAATAAACATGAGTAAATATATCAAGTTACAATTTATTGTATAAAAAAACTATATACGTTTGAATGTCTATATGTTTACTAATATAATTTTAATAAACGACGAACGTCACGTTGCCGTAGACCCCCCGTCCCCCCTTGTCACATCTTGTCACACTTAGCAAGAACCCTCCCCCCCTTGTATGCGAACGTATTTTATGAACGGCCCCAAAGCTTGTATAAATTGATCGCTTCCATGTCGAAGAGATGTCGTGCTGTCATTTCTGCCAAAGGACATGCGACCAAATATTGATAGGAACCCTAAAGTTTTATAAAACAATATTTTTGAAGTTATACTTCTTTAGGCGCGTTATGAAAAAATGATGAGAGTGAAATTTTAAGATGCGCCCGTCGCTTTAGCGACCAACTTCATGCGTTACTTTTGTGTTTACCGCACATTAAGAAAATCTACCAACTAAATAGAAATAGAATCTCTATTTAGTGGGTGCTAACGACTGCATTATGAAGGCCTATCAAAAGTATTTATTAATCTGGAACAACGGAACCAAAGCGCGATTCAGGAGACTACAGCGCCATCTCTTGACCATTGGTGTAGTAGAACCAAAAACCACATCTTTATTTTTTGTAATAAAGTAACAGTTATAGTTATTCATATTTATAATATCAAAAGTATTTATTAATCTGGAAAAACGGAACCAAAGCGCGATTCAGGAGACTACAGCGCCATCTCTTGACCATTGGTGTAGTAGAACCAAAAACCACATCTTTATTTTTTGTAATAAAGTAACAGTTATAGGTATTCATATTTATAATATTTATCCACATGTTTCTAGTTTGTATATTCGGAATACGTGTTTGAGTTTCATACAAGTGCAAATCACATATGTTCTAATAAATTATATTCAGAATTGAATATTTTGATTATTTATTTTTATTTTTTCAAATTAAAACTGAACTTTATTGACTGTGTCCTTTTCCAGACTTTTTATTAATTTATTGTAATTAATTATTTGCATGCAATTAAAAACTAATTTTAAACGATGCCAATGAAGGATAACTTCTCACGTTCCTACATAAGTACACGCACCCATTTTTTTTCTATTTTTTCTAAGCAAATCGAGTGTCTTTTATGAGGGCTACCGTTTTCTGCCTCACCAGATGGCGCCATTGTTGAGTGAGGTCCTAAATTGTAACTTTTAAAGTTTATTAATACGCACATGAAATCAAAGGTTACATTTAGATCGTATTTTAACACAAAAGAACCCTATCCTAAACATAATAGGCCATGCCACAGTGACGCCCAGTTCCGTTTTATTCGGAAAAAATGGGAACATAATCATGTTTCTAAGCTCAAATTTTTAATAACTGACATTCATTGCCACATAACTCATATTTGCCATAATTAAGCCGAATTGTTACCAATTATTCACAACATTATTTTAATAAGAAATAAACCCACGTAGTCAACCAACAAGCAATAACATTTGACATTTCCGAGACCTCACGCTACACTAGCGCCTCTAGCGGCGGATTCATACGCGATAGCCCTCATTAACGTTAAAAAAGTTTGTGTTACATTCCCATAGTGAGCAGTGTCTAAACTACTAACGAACATATTTTTTTTTTCCCACATTGTAAACAACGTCGTGTATGGTTTAATAACAATTGAACTGGTTTAAATACCAATTTTAGGTAATGTTAGTACCATAAGAAAGTTTTTTGTGGTTAATTAGGGTGTGTCTTTAATTATGTGACCACCATTGTATAATACTAGCTGTCTATACTTCGTACCGCCATAAAAAAATAGGGGTTGGTGGTATAAGGGTGAAAATTTAGGGTTGTATGCATTTTTGTATGATGTATCTTAAAAAAAAACAAACAATTTTGATCTAAAGAAAAGTTTTTACTAGAAAAAAAATCCACGCGGACCAGGCAGCGGACGGGACTCGAACCCGCATCCTTCGCTATCCGGGCGAATGCACTGACCATTATGCTACCGCGGCCCTATTAGCCGCGTCGAAATTTTCCTAGCCTTAAGCTGCAAGGCAGCGCCATCTCTTCGCATTGTAGGTAACCCACAATGTCAAATGAATACTTTTTTTTTTCTAGTAAAAACTTTTCTTTAGATTTAAACATCTAGCAGTTAAATGCTTAAAAAATAAATAAAATCAAACAATTTTGTCCAAAAAATAACAATTTAAGGGTAACCCTTAACATTTAGGGGGATGAAAAATAGATGTTGTCCGATTCTCAGACCCACTGAATGAAGGAGTAGTTCAATTACGCAATTCAATTAAATTGATGTATATCTAATATGTAAAATTCTCGTGTCACGATGTTTGTGGTTAAACTCCTCCGAAACGGCTTTCCCGATTCTCATGAAATTTTGTGTGCATATTGGGTAGGTCTGAGAATCGGACAACATCTATTTTTCATCCCCCTAAATGTTAAGGGTATAATCCACGCCTAATTTTTTATTTTACAATATTTTTTGGTTATTAATTTTTTATGATAAATCATACAAAAATACATACAAACTTGAATTTTCACCCTTCTACCACCAACCCCTATGTTTTTATGGCGGTACGATGTTCGCTGGGACAGCTAGTATCTCTTATCTAATAGACAAGTCCGTCCGTCAGTCCGTCCGTCCGTGGTGCTGTTTCAGCGGCCAAACCGTAAGAGATAGATAAAGAGAATGTTTAAGTTATAAGTTAAGAATAGTCTGATAAAACTACAAACCGGATGTGAGTAACGTAGCACTTCCGGTTTTCGAGAAATCACATGATTTCTATTTCAAACGAAACCACACAAAATCTCCGAAGTTCTCAATTAATTAAATACATTTTTTTTTTGGTGAACATTTGGTTCAATGGTTTGCTAGTATATATATATATATATATATATCATATTACCCCATTGTCTCCAGGCTATGGAAGAAAGGCCAGGGCAAGACAGGCGAGCGCACTCGCTGGCTGAACTCACCCAACGTCTACCAGAAGGTCGAGGTCCTCGAGACCGGCACCAACGACCCCAAGAAGATCACAAAGGTAGAATACCTCAGGGTCGAGGCGGAGTAGGGTACCGCTGGGGTAGGTGTAGGGCCGTTGCAGGTTAAGCTTCGATGGAATAGGTAACTTTCGGTTAGGTAAAATCTGGGATAGGCCGTTTCTGGTTAGACACAAACTTTATGATTTTTGAAGATTGACAAGTTGAAGATGGTCGGTGTGGCAGTTTATAACTGCGTTTGGACTTTATCACCGCTTAACATCAGGTGGGGTAGAGTCACTTGCCTACCTTGCTATGAAAAATAAAAAAACTGGAATAGGCCGTTTCCGGTTAGGTTTAATCTAGTATAGGCCATTTCTGGTAAAACTTTGCCTGGAATAGGCAATTCACAGTTAGGTTTAATCTGGAATAGATCATTTCCAGATAGGCTTATTCTGGAATAGGCGGTTTCCAGTTAGTTATAATCTGGAATAGGTCATTTCCAGTTAAGTTTATTCTAGAAAAGGCCGTTTCCGGTGCTGTACCTAACTGAAAATAGACTTTTTTCGGTTAGACCTAGTCTGGCCAGTGGAATGGGCCAATTCCAGTTAGACTCACCCTGGAATAGGCCAAATCCGGTTAAAGCTTAGTCTGAACGGGCTCGCCCGAGTTGATTGATTGAGAAAGTTTTTCTTATAGATAGCAGCTTATACATTTTTGTAGTTTGACTTGTCTATCTCATTTCAAACATATTTGAAATGTGCTATATTTTTGGTTTTTTAATTGTACTAATTCTTAACGTCACAAAAGGCTAGTTCTAATTTTTTTTATCGTGAAATACCAAAATGGGAAGTCATTTACAATATACGTAGTGACGTAGCGTAGAATATATACATTATGAAATATCGAAGACATTCCATTTTGTTTATTATAATAAAAGGGGTTATTTTTTTCTATATACATATGTTAAGAGTGTTTTATATATTTTTTTTTATTTTATTAATAAGGGTTTTTTTTTGTATATTAAAGATTGTGTATCACTTTTATTTATTGGAAATTAAATACCCATCTTTTTATATAAAAATGGTGTTATTTAAATAGATATTATAATGAAAACTAAACAGTGGATATTCAATGTTAACTCATTTTGTATGTATATATTTGTCGTTGTTTTAAAATAACAAATGCATATGTATCATAATATTATCTGACACTAATAATAAAATTATGATTGTGGACTTCATAATTTTATGGAGAAAATAATACAAAATTTCTTTATTAGTAATTATTTGTGAATTTTTCAATATACAAACGTAAATCGATTAATAAACATATATATATATATATATATAGAGATACCAACACGGTAAATGTTGATCTTTAGAGACGTACGATCAGTTAATTGTTGATCCGAAAACAAATGTTGATCCGGAGGCTTTATGTTGATCCATTACGCTATTTCTCATACTGATGTGGCTCCGATCGGATCAACATTTGGTATTATTGTCACGTGACTTGGCTGCAAATTACTCTTGTCAAATGTGGCTCCAATATACAAATCCGCTCCGATAAATGTTGATCCGATTCAAACGGACCAATCAGGATGAAGCACTTTATTACTTCCACCGTGATTGGCCGATGGAGGTCAATACAACGTTGCCGTTCCGCTTACTACAGTAGTTGGTCCATTGAGAATCGAAAATTTAACTTTTAATCTGTGCGTGTGCGTAATTAAACTACTCCTAAACGGCTCGACCGATTTTCGTGAAATTTTATATGCATATTCAGTAGGTCTGAGAATCGGACAAAATCTATTTTTTATCTCTCTAAATGTTAAGGGTGGTCCACTCTTAAATATATTTTTTGTTTTAGGACATTTTTTTTATTTTTATATTTTTATGATACATCATACAAAAATACATACAACCCTAAATTTTCACCCTTTTACCACCAACCCCTATTTTTCATGGCGGTACGATATTCGCTGGGACAACTAGTTTTAATATAAGAACGCTTTCGTTTGAATTGAGTTTAAATGCGGTCAGTTATTACATGAGTAGGATTTGACTGACGAAGAGACAGGGCGCCATGGAATGCCTCAGAGGGAAGATAAAGGCTCCCGGCCCAACCGGCGTCCGAAGAAGGCTGTCCACCGTAGACGCGATACTCAGACTAAAGCGGCTGTCCCAACAGACATTTAGCAGAGGGGAGGTTGTCATAGCGATATCGCTTGACATAGCAAACGCATTTAGCACCCTTCCCTACAGCTGTATTAGGAAGTCCCTCTACCACCATCGGCTTCCCACATATTTGATGGTCATAATGGAGCACTATCTCCAAGACAGAGAAGTGCTCTATACAGATTCTATTCGGCGCGCAGTTGTTCGCAATACGACGTACGTGATTCTACAGGGGTCGGTCCTCGGACCGCTCCTGTGGAACGTGGGTTTTGATTGGGCGATTCGCGGAGATTTGCTGCCCCATAAAGGAGTTATCTGCTATGTTGACGACACTATGGTCACCATACGCGGCAATAATTATGCTGTCTGCATAATTATTGCCCCGTATGGTGACCATCAGTTTCGCCAGAGCAGGAGTAACATCCACATTCAAGTGGACGAGGTAAAGGTTCCATTAAAACCCTCAATCAAGTACCTTGGGGCTCTGGCTTGACTCTTACTGGAAGGTAGTGAGCACTTCCGGCGCCTGGGCTCCAAGCTAGAGGGAGCGGCAGCTGCCCTAGGCAGACTTGTGCCCAACTTGGAAGGATCTAATGCCACCTGTCGAAGGCTATATGTGGGTGTCCTCCACAATATGGCCCTGTATGGTGCGCCGTTCTGGGTGGACGCCCTTAACACAGAGAATAGAGCTATGCTGCGAACCATGAGAACCTTGGCCGATTGCGCAGTTGATGGCTCTCGAATGATCGCCTGGGCTGTAACATGTATCCTAGCCGCCAGATCTAAGCATCAAGCTTGATGCTTAGATCTTGACGGTTGTTTACAATGAGCGCGCCGACCCCAAGGAGCGAGGTGAACGACCCGCCATTGAGGCTCTGGTGAGGACAGGAAGAGATGCGTCCGGGCATAGCTGCTTTGGAAATTACCTGCACATGATGCGAAGGAAGGCGACCCCGTCGTGTCATGAGGGCGGCGCTGCTGAGGACACTGCGCAGCTTACTCTAGAGGTGCGAAGCGCGTGGGTCAGCGGTGTCACACCCTAACGACGACTCTCTGCCTAGCCAAGTCAACGCTATGCTGAGCGGCGACAGGTCTTGGCGTGCCGTGGTCTCATTTTGTGAGGACGTCATCTCGCAAAAGGAGGCAACGGAGAGGGCTCACGAGGTGGACGCTTGAGCTGACCCCTTGCGCCGTCGGAGCGAAAGAAGGAGAAGATGCCTGTATGCGCGGTACCCTCCATAGGTGGTTGGCACATCTTAAGTTCTCTCAATCCCTGTGTATGACCGAATCGAGGTTGAGTGCGCCGTGCGCGTGGCCTGCCCCGAGTGGCGCCTCCGCCCGGCCCTCCACGACCCAACCTGACTCTGTGCTTCCCTGCGCCCCCGGCGCCCTGTGTCTCACGCTCCTCTCCGAGCGAGAGGGATTTGGGCGGCTTGACGGTGCTGGGAACAGGAGACCTCGAGAACTTACCCCCCTTACAGGGAAGAATGAGCCAGTTAAGGTTGACCGACGTTGGATATGTCAAGTTACAGTGCTTCAAATTCATTGCTCCAGTTTCATTTATTGAATTTCATTTTCTGGTATAATGTTTTGGATGACCATTTTTCAGAATGTCGTAAATAAATCGATTTTCTACCGAATCTACTAAACTATACCGATTTTCTACTGAAATTACTACTAGATCATCAAAATCATAAATCATTTATTCAGTCTAGGCTGTTAGAAGCACTTGTGAAGGTCAAGAAGCTACGCCATCGGTTCTGTACTTAGAAGAACCGGCAAGAAACTCAGCAAGGGCTGTTTTTTTCTCCCTGTATTGTTATATACAGAATCGTCAAGTTGAAAAATTACTTCAAAGCTACTTCTGAAGTCGCCTTTCCATTACATCATTTAGGATATAGTAACAATAAATTTTATAGTTAACTTTATATTTAGTATATAGGAAGCGGCATTAGATAGGCACCATATTACTGTTATGAAAAATTACTAATACCCATCAAATTACAAGAAACACTATGTTCATGCATTACGAGCATTTCGATAATCATCAACTTTATAATAGCCCTTATTTATAACATTATTCTTGATCTGAGATTTAAATTTGGTCAGTGGAAGCTCAATTAGATTTTGGGGAACTTTAAGCAGTGCAATACTACAACCCAGAAATAAACCTCTTGATTTTGGAGTCTGAAACATGGAACGGCAAGCTTCTTCTTAAATCTCCAGTTAAAGTTATGGGTTTGACTTTTTTTGCAAATGCGTCATAGTTTTTTCTTATATTACCTACACTAATATTATAAAGGCGAAAGTTTGTGTGTGTGTATGTTTGTTACTTCTTCGCGTATAAACGCCTGGAGCGATTTTAATAAAATTTGGTATGGAGTTAGCTGACACCCTGGATTACCACATAAGCTACGTTTCACTGCGGAATAAAATCCCTAATAAACCGCGGGTAACACCGCGGGGCACAGCTAGTATATTATACATATTTTTATAAATGTGTTGCGATGCCAGCGTTAAAATATTAATTTGATTAAAATTTTCCCAAAGAGATTCTCTTGCTTTTAAGTTGTATATGGCGCGAACAGCTAGCCCTTTTTTGCAGTATGAAAATACTTTCGATATTGGCAGCTGAGCCCCACAAGAAAAGGCCATATGACATAACATCGTTCTCTTTGCCTCAAATTTACTAAAAAAGTAGAAATCTATTAGAAGTGCTTATGCTGGACTCGTGTAAAACACATCTCTACAATTCAAAATGCAGAAATACTCGACAGAATGTTGTCTCACATTCACTTTTAATGGAACGTATGCTTGCTTCATTTGCCCAATATCGCGACGTTGCCGTACTCTTCATATTCAACTATGGAGCCACATTTACCACTAAAAGTCGGATATAAATCGGAGACACATATTGCGCTTGCATATCATTTTTTTGACCGTTATTGGATCAACAAAAACCTTAAAATTTTATGACGAGTAAATTGAAAACGGGTAAGAGCATATCCACTGACGTCAGACGCTGAATTCATATATTCGATCTATACAGCCGTATCTGAATCCAGAGCTGAATGTACACACGAAATAGGTGGATCAACATTTGTTCTAAATCAGTACTGGATCAACATTTACCGTGAAAGGTTGATTATATATATATATATATATATATATATATATATATATATATATATACGGCCCAGAAAAATGCATCGAAAAATGAATTGAAATTCTATTGATGTAAGTTTGATTTTTTTAGACGCTAAGTTTCATGTTACACTTATTGAATATAGTCTATTTAAATACATTTTGTCTTGATTGCCAAAAAATGCATTTGAATTCTACAAGCTTTATAGAATTGATAATTTTAAAGTAAATTTGTCCTTATATGCATCGTCGTAGTGTTGAAACTTGTGTGTTCTAAACGAGTCTTTTGCTTATATACCTATTTGCGTTTATAAATTACGTCTCTAACACACAAGAAATAGCGCTCAAAACGGCTCAACGTATTCTTTTTTTTTACATAATTTAAGACTAATTTTTAAATGGAAATGTCTCGTTTTTGTCGCAGGTCAATCGAAAGGTGTTCTTTAAAAAATCTAGTATTTTCAAAGTTTGAGTCCCAGTTAATTGTAAGATTTACAGTATGTTTAATGATATTTATCGCTCAATACCTTTCGTATTTAATAACAATAATGAAATAAAATCATTTATTTCGGATATTTATCCATAGTAAAAAAATATAATAAGTAAATAAATATTGTGTTTTTTTTTCGACAAAACTGGGACTAATTTATTTATGATAAAATTGTGAGAAAAAAGACATTATTTATAAGTATGAATACAAATTAATACCTTAAGATTTTCTTAAGAATACCTTTTTCCTGAAAGTACCACAAAACTGTAAAACAGATTTTAGACTTTCTCTCCAAAGATATAAGGTTTATAATCACTTGAAACGTTCATTAACTGTATTGAACATGGTGTATTGCCCGCCACGCTTCGCTGTGTGTGTGTGTATATTTAGTATGAAAAATATGTTTTTAAATGTATGACCTGATTTTTTTTTATTTTCTACAATATTTCTGGAAAATGAAGTTACTCTTTTGATGCCATAATTGTTACCAAGTCGCCGATTTAAGAGTTATATTTATAAGATATTTTTTTTATATAACAATAAAACTAAATGACAGATCGCCAGTTCAATAGTTTTAATATCTGGTGATAGATATTATGCCTGTCAAAGTAAAAAGTAATTTAAAAGGAAATAATATGATTGATATTATATTGAAAAAGAAAATCTGGTCATACAAATTCGCTTCTACATTATAATGCTTAATGAGAGTACATATTTAAAAATTTTAATTATTATTATGGATATTAATATATATAATAAAGATAAAAAAATACAAAAAAAAAATATAACTTTTCTTTATTCAAGCTGCTCTCACAAAATGAAATGCTTTTGATATATACAATAACACAACAGTTTTTTTTTAAAAATAGGTGTTTTTTTTTTATTTTTCTCTTTTTTTTTGTGTATGTGTTTTTTGTCTGATTCTATGAGAGTGACTAATATTATAATGTTTTGCAGTGGGTCGATGCTAACAACGAAGAGGTAATTAACAGATTATTTTAAAACGCAATTCAATTTCTTTTACTCATCTTCTGTGTATTTTTCTTTCGTACTCTTCCTTTGGTTTTTCCTTCTTCTTCTTCTTCTTTGGCTGGGCTTTGGAATCAATTCATAGACTGGAATTCGGAAACAATGTGTTGATATTATTGATAGTTACTTTAATCCGGGCAGATGTACTGACGACCTCCGTGGCCGAGTGGTTTGAACGCCGGCTTTCATGGTGTCGCCGACTCGAGAGGTCCCGGGTTCGAATCCCGGTGGGGGCAGATGTTTGTGTGATGATTACGAGCATTTGTACTCCAGTCATGGATGTTTAACATATATTTCTATATAAATATACTTATATATGTACAGTACCTATATGTATTCTATTTGTTACCCTAGGATCCCATAACATAAGCCTTATAGAGTGCTTAGTTTGGGGCTAGGCTAATTGGTGTGAGTGTTGGAAATATTTTTTTTTTATAAATCGTCACCCTGATGGTCGTTTCTAATTTTCTTTTTCTTTCATTCATTGTAGGTAACCCACAATGTCAAATGTATACCTTTATAAGTATTAAACATTTGAAAGAAGAAATAGCAATTGTAGTTAATTTTCAAATTTTATTTTTAAGTGTTCAACTGCTAGATATTCAGATCTTAAGAAAATGACTTTTTTTCTAGTAAAAAATCCTTTAGATAATAATATGAAAAAAAACCTTTTTAAAAACAAGCTTTTATTCAAATGCGCTAAAAAGAAAAAAAGAAAATTTCAACTAAATTAGTTAAAGATATCTGTTTCTAAATAGATTTTCAAATTTTAGAAGTCCGCCATATTGGATTGAGAGTGACGTCACATTTTTTTCGAGTTACTCTCAGCAAGCCAATTTGATACCCATATTGTAGGAATGCATTAAAAATGATTGGTCCGCCATTTTGGGTATGCCGCCATATTGGATTTAGAATGACGTCACACTGTTAATCATGCATTGTCATCCGAACTGAACGAGCATACCAAATTTCAGCTTAACCGGTTGAGGGCAAGTGCTTTAAAATTGAGTTGTAAGATTTGACCGTAACAAACATACATAGCAAGTTAAATAAAAGCTTGTAAAAATAGTTAAGCAAGTTTTAAGTACAAATCGAAAGCTAGATTCCAAGTCCAGTCATCTCTTTGTAATACACTATTTAATATCGAAATAGCGACATATGGGTGAGGTACATAATTTTGCGTTGTGAAAACGAATGGTCTTTTAAAACATACATCTGAAATTGAGAAAATATTGTCCTTACGTTTTGGTACTCCCAAGTTTGGTTAATATATTATCTGTTCTTTGGGTCTTTTGGTCTAAGTTTCTTGGATATTTTAATTTAACACTGGGTATTGTATGAGTTTTGCAAAAAAAAAAAAAATTTTTTTTTCAAGCGATTTTTGGCATTATAGCGAGACAGTTAAGGTTGAAAATCGATTGAGGAAACGATTACAAAACTTGTCTGCGGCCTAAGCACGAACTTTCGTAATCCGTGCCCCTAGCACGAACCATTATCGAATTCGAATAGTTTGCGAGTGCTAAATCTCGTACAAGGTACGTAACGAGAACTAAAAATCAGTGCTCATTTGACAATGACATTTCGGACTCGCAAACGTTACGAATTCGATATTGGTTCGTGCTAGGGGTACAGTAATCGTATCGTCATTTTGTTATTACGTCCGCTAGGGGCGCTGCTTGGTTTCCATAGAAACTTTGACGATACCATACGATTAAGGATCTGTCATAGTTCGTGCTTTTTTTACAATGTTTAATTCAATGGTTGTTAACTAAACAAATGATTGATTTTACCGAAAGCTAAATCAGTCCAATTAATATTAACAAGGATTCTTTTTACGCTTAAGAGCTTTGAAACGCTTGTTCTTGTGGAGGTTAAGCAACTTTAGCGGAAGTTGATTACAGGATGGGTGACCGAAAATCTATCTCACGTTATTTACTAATGTTTGAGTCCATAAATTTTGTTGTTTAATTTAGTAAAAGAAAAAAGAAATTCAATTTTACCGTTAAAACGTTTCTCTGGACACTATGGCGTCTCACTAGTATGTGACGTCACACGACTGTCATTAAAACATCAAACAATACAATGTAATGTCACTTTGGCCGGAAGTTTACTGGCGTGTGACGTCATTTTGGCCTTGGCCAATCCCAGGCGTTTTCGACCACTTGACCATAGAACAAAAAATCATTTGTATTTAATGATTATTTAGAAAAGTTTTTAATTATTTGTTCTCTCAGAATAGTATAATCGCTTCTCATATTTTAAATACAGATGAAATGAAATACAGAATGGTACAATTGGTACCATTTTTCATAAAAAAATATCTTGAAACAATTCATTATTAACAGCCCACAACACTGAGGAGCTTGATAACGCAGGTGGCTAGCGCGTTTCGCTGCGATCGTTGAAGTTAAGCAACTTACGCAATGGTCGGTCATTGGATGGGTGACCAAAAATCTTCTATCTCTCATTCCTCCGTGCTTCGGAAGGCATGTTAAGCCGTTGTTCCCGGCTGCATCTTGCAGTCGTTAGCACCCGCCAATCCGCACTGGGCCCGCGTGGTGGGTCATGACCCAATCTCCCTATTCCATCCATAGGGAAAGCCTGTGCCTCATCATTGGGGACATCAATAGGCTGATGATGATCCCATGATAGGTTTAAATATGGGAAAATTTGATGGGGAAAAAAATATAATTCGGTATCCCATCCTATAAGAGGAAATTACGATTGTCACCTCACTTAGACAATCACTTTCATGACGAAACTAGCGCTAACCGCCATTGAATTACATTGTGTCCAATAAATTCATATAACGTTTATTCAATTCACTCATTCTAACAGAGCATTTAAATATTTTACATAAATAATTATTTAAAAAGATAGTATCAACAGCATTTCATTACTTACCCCTGGTTGTGAACAACATAAACAACAAACAATATTGTTGTGAACAACATCAATAACAAATAATGTTGTTGTGAACAACACAAACAACAAATAATGTTGTTTATTGATTGAATGAAAAAGAAACATCGAGTATGTACAGTGTAGCGAAAGGAAACGCATAAAAATGTTGCCACATTATAAAAATTACTAAGTACCCTCCTGCACCTTTATCGTTTGATCCTACATGTATGTTCCTTTCAATTCATTTGTAAATTTAACGTGAACGTTGCGCCGCTACCGTCCATCCAAGATGGCGACGTCAGTGTTGCCAACTCTGCGTATTAATAAATACCTATATGAAAAAAATCTAAATAAATTATTGGTAGATTTGAATTAGAAGTTTTAACTAACGCGCGTTGGCAACACTGTGTCATTGAAACACGAACGGTTCTTTCAAATTGCTTGGTTACCAAACCAAACAGCTTTGCATGAGGAATGTATTGCAGAATGTTTTTCATTATTATTTTCTTTTCAATAATTCTTAAAGTGAATGAAAAAAAAAGTCCTTTGTCTTTTATACTGTACACGCTCGATGTCCACCAGGAGGATAAAATTTGCAAGTTTTTTTTTTGTAATAAACAAAAAAATATTATGTATACTTCACACCATTTAACAGCGCACAATTTTCTTTTCTACCCATCTTTTTCACACGCTTCCTTACACTAACCCAACCTTCATTCTACCATAACAGTAGCTTCTTTTCCTAATAATGCTGGCAACATTTTTCACTAATTCTGAATTGTGTTTCTTTCCTTTCGCTACGCTCCGCGATCGCCAACGGATTGTCGCCCTTATCGCGTACGCCAGTGGGTGCAAGATGGCTCGCCGGCGCACTCGAGCACTCCCGTCAAAATCGACACCCTACAATTTGTGCCCAAGAATACTAATCCCAAGGAATTCAAGGCTTTGCAACAACAGGTAAGTTTTTTTTGTTATTATTACAAGCAGCCGCCTGCGATTTGGTACGCGTAGATATAGTTATTTGCATATACTTTTAACCCCAAAAGGGGCTTTTTCTAAAAATACATTATCAGTCAGTACCACAGAACACAGAAAGAGGTTAGAAGGGTCTTCAGAGACCTTTTGTACGGGAACCGATGTCGCCGGCTCGCCCGCACTACACTTACACCTAATAAATATTAGCCAATCAAACGCCGTGACATCAAACAATCGAACCAATCGGCGCTCACACCCCATCGCAACAAAGCAATCGTTGACAAGTTTTGGTCAAGTTATGAGCATTTGCTCACAACTGACTGTGGCGCGTCTGCCCCGCCCACAAGGCCCTTCTAACATCTTTCTGTGTTCTGTGGTCAGTACACATCTACACCATCCATAGAGCATACATGTTAAATTTCAATGACTCATGTCTCTTACTTCAAAAACATAGGACATTTCTAAATAAATTGAAGCACTTCCTGCTACAAAAGTGCCATTATTCTTTAATTGAATATTATAATGAGAAATTCAATGTATTTTAACTAAAATTAATAATAAAAAGAGAAAAATAATTTAACAATCAATTAATTTAAATTATTATAAATATAATAGTAGAAATAAAGAAGTAAAATTAGGAATAATGAATAGACCATTATTTATAATTATATTTATCGAATGTCCGTTGCACGCTAATACAATTTACTTTGCTATGCCCAATTTGGGTAACATAATTCGATTCATTATATTATATACCTACCAACTTTTGTACAATAGGGATGATGACTAATTTTTTTTTCTTCGTTTATCAGGTAGATTATCAAAAAGTATTGGACACCTATTTTTTCTTTTTTCACATAATATAAACATTGCAGAGATATATTGATTTGAAAAGTCGCATGACGTCACGTTTGAGTACACTCATAAGTGAAAATTCACTCAAAAGTGACGTCACGACCCCCTACTCCCAAACTTTGACGCGCTATAACTTTGTCATTTTTTGGTTGATTGCCCAAAGAAAAAATACGCGTCCATTATTTTTTGATCATCAAACTGACGGACTAATATTAGAATTTCGTTTACTGTACCCCGTCATCACCCCTATTTACTTTGCTATGCCCAAATGGGTAACATAATTCGATTCATTTTATTATATACCTACCATCTTTTGTACAATTATGTAATGCAATAAATGTTTGAGTTTGACTTTGACTATGTTACTCTAAACTAGTTTGGTTCTGCATATATTTAGATTAAGGAGAACCGTCGTGCGGACAAGATCAGCGCTGGACCCCAGTCCCACATACTGGAGGGCGTTACTTGGGACGAAGCCAGCAAGCTCGTGGGAGAAGATGCCGCCAACACCCACACTGGAGACCACGTGGTACGTTAACACCCAGATACTAACGACTTATGACGACCTCCGTGGCCGAGTGGTTTGTACGCCGGGTTTCGTGGCTGTCGCCGACTCGAGAGGTCCCGGGTTCGAATCCCGGTGGGGGCAGATGTTTGTGTGATGAATATGAGCATTTGTACTCCAGTCATGGATGTTTAATATGTATTTCTATATAAATATACTTATATATGTACTGTATATGTATTCTATCCGTTACCTTAGCATCCCATAACACAAGCCTTACAGTGCTTACTTTGGGGCTAGGCTAATTGGTGTGTGTTGGAAATATTTATTTATTTATTTATAGTAAGGATAACAACCCTACTTGTTTAAATCTAAAGAAAATATAACTAGGAAAAATTCCACGCGGACCAGGCAGCAGACGAGACTCATACCCGCATCCTTCGCAATCCGGGCGAATGCCTGACCAACTATGGCTAGAAGAATTTCGACGCGGCCGTCAGGGCCGCGGTAGCATAATTGGTCAGTGCATTCGCCCGCCAGGTGCGGGTTCGAGTCTCGTCTAGTTAGTTATATTTTCTGTAGATTTAAACACCAAGCAGTTACATGCTTAAAAAATAAAAACACTATATCTATTTATTGGTTAAATTAAATCCGATTGCTTCAGATGTGAGGTGATTGTAAGGTTTAGTATAACCGCATAGGTATATGTTGCAAAAAGAGACATAAGAGCTGTATATTCACTGCTATTGCGTAAAAATAATAGACGTTTTGCCTGAATACAAAATGCTTCCGTTTTTTTTTAAACGACTAGCCATTTTGTAATACGGCTGAATCTGCAATCTGCCTGAGACTTACAAGACGACCTCCGTGGCCGAGTGGTTTGTACGCCGGGTTTCATGGTGTCGCCGACTCGAGAGGTCCCGGGTTCGAATCCCGGTGGGGGCAGATGTTTGTGTGATGAATATGAGCATTTGTACTCCAGTCATGGATGTTTAATATCTATTTCTATATAAATATACTTATATATGTACAGTATATGTATTCCATATGTTACCCTAGCATCCCATAACACAAGCCTTATAGTGCTTACTTTGGGGCTAGGCTAATTGGTGTGTGTAAAAAGAAAAAAAAATGCTTTCTATAAGATGATGAGATGAGGTGTTTGTTACAAGTGTCATCTATGTCTGCAGGTGTGTTAAGAGTTCCATTTGTTTCGCGTCTAGGTGTTGATGGGCGCCGCCTCTAAAGGCATCATTCAGCGAGGCTACCAGCACAACGCTACCATGTACAGCGCGCCTTACGCCCGTAACCCATTCGACCATATCTCCGATCGGGAGATTGAGGAATACAGGCGCATTGTGGAGAGGAAAGCGCGGTCCGATTGTGAGTAAAAATGGATGGACGGAATGAGGGCTACCGTTTTCTGCCTCACCAGATGGCGCCACTGTTGAGTGAGGTCCTAAATTGTAACTTTTGAAGTTTATTAATACGCACATGAAATCAAAGGTTACATTTAGGTCGTATTTTGACACAAAAGAACCATATCCTAAACATAATAGGCCATGCCACAGTGACGCGCAGTTTCGTTTTATTCGGAAAAAATTGGAACATAATCATTTTTCTAAGCTCAAATTTTTAATAACTGACATTCATTGCCACGTAACTCATATTTGCCATAATTAAGCCGAATTGTTACCAATTATTCACAACATTATTTTAATTAGAAATAAACCCGCGTAGTCAACCAACAAGCAATAACGTTTGACATTTCGGAGACCTCACGCTACACTAGCGCCTCTAGCGGCGGATTCATACGCGATAGCCCTCATTGAACTACTCCGAAACGGCTCGACCGATTCTCGTGAAATTTTATATGCATATTTAGTTGGTCTGAGAATCAGACAAAATCTATTTTTTATCCCACTAACTGTTAAAGGTATTAGGTATTATAACTGTTAGGTCCACCCTTAAATTTTTTTTGGACATTTTTTTTTGTTTTTTTTTTTTTATGATACATCATACAAAAATGTATACAACCCTAAATTTTCACCCTTCTACAACCAACCCCTTTTTTATGGCGGCACGAAGTTCGCTGGGACAGCTAGTAGTTTATAATATAAAATAAAATTGAGCCTTATTTTTTACCCGGCTGCGCAATGCAAGAGCGCGAAGCGCGACGCGCAGACGGTTATGTGTTTAACAGTCTATATATGTATGTTTGTTCCTTTGTGGCACACTAGAGACCAAACGCCTGGACCGATTTTGATGATTTATATATCAATCGATTCGTCTCAATCATGGGAGTGCTACTAAAGATATGATATTAAGCAAAATTCAATAAGGGCAAAATTAGACGCCATATTGTGACGAAGTAAAAAAAAAAATAAGTTGACAAAATATGTCGAGTGGGGTATCACTGTCTAGATAATCAAAAATCATATTTAGGTTCCTAACACCATTTTTCATTTTATATGATTGTTTAGGATCTACAACGCTTTAAAGTTGTATATTAACCACTTACGCTTTTAATTTCAATCTTACGTTTGTATGGATCTTTGTTACTCTTTCACCTTAAAAAATACTGAATGGATTTTAATGAAACTTAACAGTAATATAGCTCATATATGATAATTACATATATATAATAATTTATTATTAAATGTTACGCTTGTTCACAGACGACACCGATCTTTCCGAGTCGGAAGCCATCAGTGCAGCGCAGATCACTTCACCGGCCAGCGCACCATCGGAAACTGAAGAGGAATCGCGAGATGGTAAGGAAATCAGTGCGCTGGATACCTTGTTACTTATTTGATAATTTAACACAAATGTTACATCAATTGGTAATTCATCTTACAGAACACCGAGTGTTAAGAATAGAGACGAAACAAGCGCCTGTAAGAAGTCAACCGGAGGTCGTCCTCAGCGACGGTGAGTATCCGATGAATATCCGAACGTATCCGAAAAATATCCGAACGTGTCCGAAAATATCCGACGCTAAATTTCTCGTTTTTTCAAAATTTCTTGTACATAATTTGAGTTTTGTTTTTTCTTTCCAACGTTTTCGAGCTTAAATTTGTGTTATTTGAATGCTTAAGAAGTTTTTAAATTAGTTCGAGTATAATATTACTTTTATGGTATTTTGGCATGCTCTTTTCAAGGCATTAATGAGGATATGCATGTATTTTTTTTACAATTAGTTAGTGAATGTTTTGATATTTATTTAGAAAAAAAAAATATTTTTGTTGATAATGAAAATTAATGAATAACTTTACATTTTATGTGGTGTATAAATTTTCATTACTTTTAAATATAATTTTTGTTATTTTCGGTCGCCACAAAAATTTTATTTTTTGTTTTTTGTGACGACTACAAAATGCATGTTACATGTAAACGGGGGTCGCAAACCTAAGAGAATATTTAAAATTTGATGATATTCTTAATCTGTGTTTAAAACATATTTTTTATTTAAACAGTAGTATTTCAAATTATTTGTCTTTAAGTTAATAAACTCCAATTTATTCGTGATTTTTTTTCTTAAAATTTATTACCGATAAAAACATTCGATATTTGAGCAATTTAAACAATACTACAATAAAACATTCAACTCAAGATGAGTTGAATCTTTGTTTGGAATATAATAACAAACTACGTTCCTTTATACGCTAAACGCTACGTTCCTTAATACGTTAAAGGTTTTTTTCTATTGTTCGTTTCACCACTAGCTACAAAATACCTTTTAATTAAATATTACTTACTTTTTAATGCTTAACATAATATCAAAAAATATGATTCATTTGCAACCCCTACTACATTAGCGAATTGTGTATTTTTATAGACACAGTTGATTTCTTGAACATGGAGCGAGCGCACGCGGACCGGACGAAAGGTTAGTCATTTAGTTAGTACTAACTAAATCTGTTAGTCGCACATCTGTTCTCAAAGATTTCAATTTACTTTTGAGTTTGATGCTAAAATTGTTTTCTGCCACTTTTTGAAGTGAAACTTCTTTACGCACGCTTGACTTGGGGAGTAACCTGGCGCACGCGTTACGAAAAGTGTGATCGGGAGAGGCGAACGGGAGTTGAGTGGGGGATATTTATTTAAAGATTTATGTCAAAAGTGCCTAGACACTTATATTAATTCTATAGAGGAGGGAATACGTGATGATATTCGAATATTTTGGTCTTATGTAAACAACCGTAAGTCAAAGAATGTCATACCTCAAGAAATAACATATTTGAATTCTAGAACAAATAACCCGAACGAAGCCTGTGAGTTATTTTCACGTTTTTTTAGTTCCGTTTACGAATCATCTGATCCCTGTGAAGTCGATGATAGAACGTCTTTTGATCAAACAGATAGCGATGATACGATAACACATATATATTTCCCAATTGATGTAATAGTATCTGTCATTAAGTCAATAGATATCACCAAAGGTGCTGGACCTGATGGCATCCCACCTATCTTTATTAAGTCTACGGTAAATACCTTGTGCACGCCTCTTTTTATACTTTTTAATCAAAGTATCCGAGAAGGGAAACTCCCATCAATGTGGAAAAGTGCTAATATAGTCCCTGTTCATAAGGGTGGTTCCAGGCATGATGTTGAAAATTATCGTCCCATCTCGTTGTTGTCAACCGTGTCGAAACTCCTAGAGAAATTAATTCATAATGAAATATATCCTAGTCTTCATGCTAGGATCATATCACAGCAACACGGCTTTGTCAAGAAACGATCGACTCTCACTAATTTAATGTCATATTCCACATTCTTATTTGAATGTATGGATAACCGTCAACAAGTCGATTCCGTTTACACTGACTTCTGCAAAGCTTTCGACAAAGTTGACCACGCTATCCTTCTACGCAAGATAGCATTTAACGGGATTCGTGGAAATTTGTTTCGCTGGTTTCATTCTTACATAACCAATAGGACCCAAAAGGTTGTGGTAAATGGCTTTTCCTCATCAACGATTTATGTATCTTCGGGTGTAGCTCAAGGTTCAATTTTAGGGCCTTTGCTCTTTATCTTATTTATAAATGATATTTCCCAATGTTTCATTAATAGTAACTTCCTCCTGTATGCTGATGACTTAAAGGTATATCGCACCATCACGAACTTTGATGACTGCATTAAACTTCAACAAGATTTAGACCGCCTCTCACTGTACTGTAGCATTAACAAACTGCATCTCAGCATACCAAAGTGTAAGGCTATAACATTTACAAAGAATAGAAACATTGTACTAAACACGTATTATTTGAATAACACACCATTAGAAAATGTCACATTAATTCGTGATTTGGGAATCCTCTTTGACTCTGAACTGCACCTGAATTCTCATATAGATCATATCACCAGTAAGGCTTACAAACTTTACGGCTTTGTAGCTCGGTCCTGTTCAGCTTTCAAACGTCCAAGCACACTTATATACCTTTTTAAGTCCTTGATCAGATCACAGCTTGAGTATGGTGTCATCATATGGAATCCTTTCTATAATAAGTACAATAAACAGGTCGAGTCTGTTCAACGGAAATTTTTGAGATATGTTAATTTTAAATGTTGTCACTCCAAAGTTTCATATGAAAACTTGCTAATAAAATTTTCACTAGACTCGCTCGAAGTGAGAAGGTCACTCCTGAGTTCTATGTTTCTCTATAATCTATGTAATAATAACTTTGATTGCATTGATTTGATAAATAAAATAAATTATCAGATACCCAGTAGATCAAAACGAATCCAACAAAATTACCATCATCGATTATTTTCACTTCCCCGGTGTAATACTAATGCTGGGGCCCGTGCACCTTTGTATAGAGTGATGAAAAGTTACAACGATAATTTGCATAATATTGATATTTTTCAATTGTCACCATCCTTATACAAAAAAAGTGTCACTTCAGTTTTCTCCCAAGGTTCAGAAGTATCTAAGTGAATGTTAATATACTAAAATAGATATACATCGGTTAGACTTGCACCCTGGCTGGATTTAACTACTTTAGCACAGTGGTTTGATTGATAGGTCATGTCATTATTTTCAGTTACTAATTTATATTCTGTTCATTTCTTGGTACCTACTGTATTAATAGAAAATCTTAAGCGCAAAAATATGTATTTTGTTTTAATAAGTGGATAATGAAGTTGGTCGTACAATAATTTAAGGTGTCACCTGTATTACAATACTATTTGTTTAATGAGAATTGTACCACTGTTTTTTGTCCTGAATAAAATAAAATAAAATAAAAAATAAAATAAAATAAAAGATATAAGCAAGAGAAAACAGTGCGCGCGAACATTTTCTTCTCTCTTTCTCTTATAGCTAGTAAATTAAATATGTATATGTACCTACGTGTATACAGGGTGTTACAAAAATACAAATAAAGCTTGAAGGGCGTTGAAGTATTTTTAATGATTAATAAAAATGTCGATCATTTTAAGACACGCCAATAGTTCGAGGATCATTAGAAATAACTGTTTTTATAAAAAGTTAAAACTTCACGCAAATATTTTAAAAAAATTAGAGAAGACTTCTTATATGATGTACTTCAGCGCCCTTCAAGCTTTATTTGTATTTTTGTATCACCCTGTATATTGTACACACATATATGATGTGATATATATATATATATATATATATATATATATATATATATATGTATGATGGAGCTAAAGAAGTTTCACTTTAGTCGCGTGATCATAAAAACCCTTTTTTTCTTTATTTGTCAATGAGGGTGTTTAGGAAAATTTACGCTACCAGGTGGCGCCACAGTTACATGATTTTTTTTTGAAGTCGATTTGGCGCGAATTAATCGAACGAGAATCTAAATTTTTCCATAGGCTATGACTACATACCTTATTTGACGGATGAGTAGACCTTTCGTCTCAGTGCTGCCACCTGGCGCCCGATATTCCAAAAAACGTTACAAATTGATAAATTAAATTATATTAATTTGATGTCTTCGAGAACGACCGGTAGTTGCATTTGAATAAGTAATCTCGGTAATGTATATTATTTTTTCCTTTTTTTATATGAATCAAGAAACTTAATTTTAGTTAAGTATACTTGAACCAACGAATTGGAAATGATATGGAAGCATTGATCTCTTACAAATGCCGCCAGAACATGGTTCCAAAATCGTAAAAATAAACTTCAATTCTTTATCGTTTAGTATAGTATAGTAAAGTTAAGTAGGATAATTGGCGTGATTCTCTAAATTTAACACTAAGTTTAACATCAGTCTCTCCTTTTCATTCTGTATAGAGAATGACAAGGATATACTGCTGTCATATTTAAGTTTAGGTTTAGAGAATCATGCTAGAATCGACACCATTATATATGTTTTTCTAACTTTAATAGCTCGTACTCTATCGCCCTAACATTCGTCTCCCACAGCCTTACTGGTTGACTGGTAGAGATTGCCTATGGCATTAAGTCCGCCATTTACTGTATTTTGGTTAAGAAGAATAAAATAATTAAATAAAATACTTTGACTAATCAAATACAGGCAGTCCTCGACTTACGTCGTTTCGATTTACGTCGAACAATGTTTTGACACTATTCCTTAAGCATACGTCAATTGTTTCGATTTCCGGAATAGGAGTTCACTTGTCGCGGGGTCAATGTCCCCCCCCCCCCCCCCACATATGCTGCGGATTTAGTTTAGTTAGTTCAGAGACAACGGACAATCAAGACGTAATACATTAGTTTTTTTTGCATCTTTGATAGTTTTTGTTTTGACATACATATTTAAGTGAATTTTAATCTAACTCTGCCACCGAAACAAGACCTTTTGAGTCCGTGTGGATCCTAACCCTTGAGTTTTACATGTAAACATGTGAAAAAATATGTCTCGACTTACGTCGTTTCGATTTACGTCGCGTATTTCGAGAACCTAACATGCCGTAAGTACAAGGACTGCCTGTATATGCAAATGTATTAGGATATCCATTCATTTTCAACGGATATCGCAACCAATCCCATGATAGGCGCGTTAATCGCTGTTTTTTCGCCCCGCCCACTTGATCGCGGTTTGCGTGGAACCACTTTTTAGCGCATTTCGTCGTGTTCCATATTATTTCTTATTCTTTGACTAGTAACTGTTTTGTCCAAGCATTTCTAGAGGTTACTTATTATTTTAGTTACAAAAATGTTATAGCATAGTGCATGGTTTATAAAAAAATCTCCTTTTTTACTAATTGCATTTCCTATCTTGCATGTAACTTTATATTTTGCATGATTCTCTCGTTTATTTTGTCCAATAATAATATCTAACATGAAACGAAACAAATTATATATCACTTAACTTTCAAATTCTTATTCCAAGTCCAAAATAGGAAAGATTCATAGGATTAATTTCTTTGTTCTGTTATCGCAAGGACGTTTTTCCATTGCACACAGTCACATGAGCTCTTCGGACAACTCCAACATGTCGGAGGTGCTCGAATATTGAACTTTGAGGTTAGGCTAAAGAGTTCAAAATAGATTGCGGAGTTTTGACGTTTTGTGGTAATTTGATGCGCTTTCGTCCGTATATTGAACCGTAGAATAATACTTTATATTTATGGAATGCTAAAATGGAAACTGTTACTTTTTTACTTTTTTACGTTTGTTTTACTGTTACTAAACTTTAATTTTCCTAAAGTTGTCCAAGATACTCTTTATTGCATCATATAGTTTAAAACATATAATCAAATACATAGTAAGCAAAGGTGGGCTTATCTCTAAAAGAGATTCGATGTTACTTTTTGGTTAACCTTTGGTTACATTTGGATATTGTTACTTTTTGGTTAACCTTTGGTACATTTGGACATTGTTACTTTTTTGGTAAACTTTTGGTTACATTTGGCCATTGTTACTTTTTGGTTAACTTTTGGTTACATTTGGTCATTGAAAAGCGTTCAAAAGAGAAAAGATGAATGATCGTTTGAAATGTTGACATTTTAACATTGAGCTTTAAATGTTTGTTTAAAACTTTTAGCTAAATTTTTACCGTCAAATCATTTTTGTAATGACGAAATAAAAGTGCTACATATATCTATCTCTTTCACCATACGTTATCGGGCGTATTGGTGAAAGTAGGACAGAATTAGAATGAATTTTGATGCTTTTCTAGCATTTCTTTTGTATAAGTTATTATTATAAACATTAAACTTAGTAGACGTTGACACACCCCGGGATCCAAACCTGTTACCCGATGAGGAGGTGTTCTTGTCTTCTCCGGCCACTTCACCAGTGCCTGACAGTATCAGGTCGCAGACGATCAGAGGTGAGGGTTGTGTGTGTGTCGATAGAACGCTTGTCGATAGTCTTAAGTTATCAATATGGCATTGATTTGGTAATAGTTGCCGCTGTTAGGAGTTGTCAATTTAAATTTTTACTTCTTTTTATAGGTCTTCGTATCTTTTCTTTAGGCATGAGGATAATATTATAGCTATTAACGGGATTGTTACCATGTACCTTGTTTTTTATGAGTCTCCGATATTTCGGCGCTGTTGCAAGCGCCATGATCACGGAGTAACTGAAGTGATTGCGGGTAGATGTTATTCGCAGACATATCGGTCTACCCTCATCTTCACATATCAGATCGCGGAATGACACTTTATTGATTTTTGCGGTTTTGTAACATTAAAAAACAAGATACATTGTAACAATCCCGTTAATAGCTATAATGTTAGTGACCATGAAAGTTTAAAACAATATGAGGATAATAGTAGAAAAAAATATTTCTTAAAGAACATCAATCAGGTGCTAAATGAATCCGATACATAACGTATTAGCTATTGAATTATAAATAGGGTATTTGACAAGTTTTTGAAAACGATCTCACGTTATTGACTTATGTTTATGGAGTCCGTTAAAAGTGGACATTCATCATTCTGTTGTGTATTTCAGAAAAATAACAAAATCTAAAACTTCATTTTCAAGTTGTCGCGAAAACGTTTCTCTGGACAATATGGCGTCTTACTAGTGTGTGACGTCACACGACTGTTATTAAAACGTCAAACGATACAATGTAATGTCAATTTAACCGGAAGTTTACTTGCGTGTGACGTCATTTTAGGCTCCGCCAATCCTAAGCGTTTTGGGTCACGTGACAATAGATAAGAAAAGTATTATCTTTTTCGTGGGGTTTTAGTAAAATTATGTTTTTTTTTGGTAAAAATAGTAAAAAACTCCTGCCAATATTCAATCTAAACACAGATGCTAACAATTGGCACTTTATTTTTAATACTATCAAATACCCTATTTAAGTGTTATTTTTTTATAACTGTAATTGACAACTAAACCTAATAGTATTAATATAATGTTTGATGCTATCGATAGAAATACAGATGTCACTGAAGGTGTTGGTGTCTTCACTCCATTTTTGTCGGGTGTATGGTTTATGTCACAAACCAAAATTTTTTTTTTACTTTTTTTTTTCAACATCATAAACTTTGTGATTGGGTGATACTTAAATTGTTGTTGTTTTCTTGTTCAATAGAATAAATGAAATGAAATTATTTATATGCCGTAAATAGGGTAGGTAACACAATAAATGCAAGGGCGGATCCAGCTTTGGCGCCAGGGGGGGGGGGGGTCATATAGTCATGATCAAGTCACAGTGGGCACAGATTGGAAGTACAGATTGATGAGTGAAGTGGGTACAGATGGACCCAGCCCAGGGGGGGGGGTATGACCATGACCCCCCCCCTCCTGGATCCGCCCTTGAATAAATGTCTATATTAATACATAACAGTGATTGAAGGAATTGAGGAAAACTCACAAGGAAAATATTTAAAAAAAAGAAAAGGTTTAATTTTTTGTATGTTTGTAACGAATAAACTCAAATACCACTGGACCGAAATTCAGAAATTCTTACACCATTACATTGGTACCGAGTTACAATGCCTATATTATATCGCTATAAAATAAAGTTCGCCCGTGCAAAACTTAGGCGAACCGCTAGTTAAGTTACATAATAAAGATATAAGTAGGTGGCTTAGGGCTTAGGGTAGTGAAACCTTAGATTAAAACAAAAAGGGTAGATACGGTACGCTCATACTTGCATCAAACAAAAACTGATCCCACGGCAGCGCGAACGGGACGCCGAGATCCGCGTCGCTGCACTACCGACCAATCACGCGACCAGCACTCGACGTCACTACCGAATAAGATTCAAAACAAACAGCAATTTTTATAAAAAATATATTTTATAGTACTTACGAATGAAAAGTGATGCCGTGGGTTTTATTTTTAGTTCTTGAACAATTTGAGCACTTTTTAAAAACACATTTAAGCATTGTTTTATCATATAAACACAAAATATTATCAATATTTCTTTTTGTCGTTCACATGTACGTCGTTTGCATGCCAAGTTGTGACTAAAGCGATTAGGGTCGTGGACCACAATTCATGCGGATCACTTTTGTGAGGCTAGTGCCGTATCTACCCTTTTTGTTTTAATCTAAGAGTGAAACATGATTTTTAAACGACTTCAAAAAGGAGGGAACTCAATTTGGTTGGTTTTTTTTCGTATAAAAAAGCTGGTGAAGACTCGAACCTATCGGATGAGGTTTTCGCTGTGACCGCCGCTCCGGCCACTCAGCAACCTGTAGTAGTTAGAGCACAGACCAATGTCATCAGACAGTCTGTCGTGATGAGAGGTGAGAATGGTGGGGTGACGATGGTGATGTTGACGGAATAGGGTAGTTGCCTTGATTGAAATTTGCATCTAAATCTCTATTCATCAGAAAGTATAATTATAAAGATACCTTTGTGTGAAATCAGAACAGGGAATGTACAGGGTGTTACAAAAATACAAATTAATAAAGCTTGAACGGCGTTGATGTACATCAAATAAGGAGTCTTCTCTAATTTTCTTAAAATTTTTGCAGAAAGTTTTAACTTTTTATAAAAACAGTTATTTTTAATGATTAATAAAAATATCGATGATTTTAAGTCACGTCACTAGTTCGAGTATCATTAAAAATAACTGTTTTTATAAAAAGTTAAAACTTCATGCAAATATTTTAAGAAAATTAGAGAACAATCCTTTTCAGATGTATTTCAACGCCCTTCAAGCTTTATTTGTATTTTTGTAACACCCTGTATATGCATGTAATTGAATTTAGGCTGTTTTTTGGAGTTCCGTAGTCCTGACAAGGAACCCTTATAGATTCGTCATGTCCGTCTGTCTGTCCGTCCCCGGTTTTGCTTGGAGACTGTTAGAACTAGAGAGATGTAATTTTGTAAAGATATGTATATCAATCATGCCGACGAAATGGTAGAACAAAATTAAAAAAAAAAATTTTGGCGTAGCTCCCCTACATGTGTAACCTAGATATGATTTTATATTTTTTGTACAATATTATATAGGGATATATTATATATTACTAGCAAACCAAATGTTCACCAAAACCTCATTTAAAAAAAAAAAAGTATTTAATTAATTGAGAACTTCGGAGATTTTGTGTGGTTTCGTTTGAAATTCGTGATTTCTCGAAAACCGGAAGTGCTACGTTACTCAAATCCGGTTTGTAGTCTTATCAGACTATTCTTAACTTATAACTTAAACATTCTATTTATCTATCTCTTACGGTTTGGCCGCTGAAACAGCACCACAGACGGACGGACGGACTTGTCTAATAGATAAGAGATAGGGATGCGTATTAAATAAAACTGTATAAAAAATATGCATTATAACAATTTGGAATAGGTTCTGGAATTACGGAGTATTTAAAATTTTATAAACACTGAGAGTGTGGTGGTAGCAGCTTGCTATCTCTCTCACACTAGTGGCTTTTGTGTATGCCCTCTCATGTTTTTTCCTATTTAAATATTACTAAAACAAGAGCTATATTTTTTATTTTATTAAAAGTTATATATCTACGAAAATATCAAGGCAAAAGCTACCCTATTCCAATAGGGTGATAGGTTAATGTTGTAATAAGAGAGTGATTTGAATCGTTTGCTTATGTTTAAGTGTGTGCTTAGAGGGTAGTCATGGTGATTCTAGGCTTAAGACGTGACAATATCTAAGCTTAGTTAAAGCCATAGCTTACTGCAAAGTCTTATGTTTTGAATCGGATAAAAATAATATCTATTTATTGGATAAAATTCCACGCGGCCCAGGCAACAGACGGGACTCGAACCCGCACCCTTCGCTATCCGGGCGAATGCACTGACCAATTATGCTACCGCGGCCCTGACGGCCGCATCGTAATTCTTCTAGCCATTCTTTAAGCTGCAAGGCAGCGCAATTTCTTCGCATTGTAGGTAACCCACAATATCAAATGAATACTTTTACAAGTATTAAACATTTGAAAGAAGAAATAGCAATTATATAGTTATAATGTTTTTATTTTTTAAGCATGTAACTGCTTGACGTTTAAATCTAAAGAAAATATAACTAGAAAAATTTCCACGCGGGCCAAAATAAAATAAAAGCATTATAATTATATTTGCTATTTTTTCTTTGAAATGTTTAATACTTGTAAAAGTATTCATTTCACATTACGAAGAAATGGCGCTGCTTTGCAGCTCCAGAATGGCTAGAAGAATTTCGACACGGCCGTCAGGGCCGCGGTAGCATAATTGGTCAGTGCATTCGCCCGGATAGCGAAGGGTGCGGGGTTCGAGTCCCGTCTGCTGCTTGGTCTGCGTGGATTTTCGTTCGTTAACGTAAACGTTCAAGCAGTTACATGCTTAAATAAAAACATTATATCTATTTATTGGTTAAATTAAATCCGATTGCTTCAGATGTGAGGTGATTGTAAGGTTTAGTATAACCGCATAGGTATATGTTGCAAAAAGAGTCATAAGAGCTGTATATTCAATGCTATTGTGAAAAAATAATAGACGTTTCGCCTGAATACAAAATGCCTCGCGTTTTTTTAAACGACTAGCCATTTTGTAATACGGCTGAATCTGCAATCTGCCTGAGACTTACAAGAAATGCTTTCTATAAGATGATGAGATGAGGTATGTGTTACAAGTGTGATTAGGTATTAATGGGTGTGTTCTTGTATGTGATATAATATAGCAAAATGGTTATTGACATTGTGGCATACTATAGTACATATATATCGATAGGGTGCTACGTTATTGAAGCGATAAAATGTTGTTTCATCATCTTATCATCATCATTGGTTTAGGATAGTTCACAATTGTCAGATTTTTTGTATTTATGATGGGAATATTAGGCGAATCTAGATGAAGATTTCATTGTAGATGGCGCCACTGGTTCTGAATTATTTTGGTCAATGTGTCGTTGTATTCTTTGGAGGTACATCATTATCATTGTGCTATTAGCTTGTGTTTCTTGTTTAATGTACATTATAGCTTTTTATTTAATATTTTGGATAACGCAGTTTTCATATATATATATTCATATTATAATGTAAGTATTTAATAGGTAACTTGTTCAATGTTACTTGCTTTTATCTTCCTCTAGAAATATAGCTAAATCGTAGTTCAAAGCTTTAACACTTAATTTTAATAAACAGATAAAATAGATATTGAATATTTGAATTAAAATCCCCTAATTATATCTTTTTATATGTTTAGTCAAATCAAGATTTCTTAATAAATTTTCGACTTTATGACAGAACATGAGCTGAGCTGATTCGATTCAATTTATTTGCATTGTAAAGGGTACATTAAAATGCCAAATGGAGCGCACAATTCGCATAATACTGATTCGACGTTTACTCCGCGTAATGCACAAAGTTTAAATGGACTCTTACTTATATACTTAACTAAACCACCCTTAATACATAGCGAAATGTGAAAACAAACAACTTTTATATGAAATAGATCAATGAGAAGGTTATTTTCACGTTTCGTTACGTATATATATATCATGTCTTTCTCATTTGCACTAACCATGCTTTACTCGCTCGCATCACCAGGTAACATACCAAGAAGCCTGCACGATGCCCTATCTGCGAACAAAAGATCTATACACGACTACCCGCGCAGCGTTAAACTGGACAGTATGGTCCAAAAATACGATACCAATAGCTTGGATAGGAATACCAATAACTTGGATAGGAATACCAATAGCTTAGATAGGAACACTAATAGCTTAGATAGGAAACATCCTAAATGCAAACTCAGCCTTAATAACCGTTTGAAAACAAGCGACGCTCCAAAAATTGCAGAGACCCAAAATGCAGGTCTCATGAGCTCTCGCTCCAGTCTATACTCTATACCTTCGATAGAGTGGGACGGGAAATGCAAATCCGAATACACTTTACGTACACGCTCGTTGCCAAGGCAAAAGGCTCATAGATGTAATAATAATGTCAAATTGTATAGGACCCGTTCTCACAGCGGTTTTGTAAACAGTTACGTCAAAGACCCCGAACCTGTCCATTACCATTTGCCTAAGTGTCGATCGTGTGGCGCCACTAACAATTCTTACGCTTGGGAATTAGCCAGAAATCGCAAAACCATAGACTACTCGCTTTACTTATCAGTCGATAATATTGCCCAAAAATGCATCGAAGATGCTCAACCCAACCCTGTGAAAGTACAACACAAGTTATTGCCCGTGTTCAAAGTAGCTAAAGTTGATAATGAATTTGTTGAAAGTCAAGAATTCAACGAAGATAACTATTTTGAAGACATTGGTAATAGTTTCTCGTCTGATAATCAAACGGTTGTTGTCAAATCGGACCCTGACAAAGATTTAGATGTGACAATCACTGAACAGGTCAAAAAGGAACCGTTGACTATTGATGTTAAAGACGATAGTAAAGATGTACACAGAGCTATATGTGTTCGCATAGAAACGGAAACGGAACACGAAGATAATAATTCAGCAGAGGCTGTTGAAGGAGAATACCACAGCTTCATAGACGAATTGGATTTTGACCAGGCAGTGTACGAAAGTCCCGTTAAAGATCTAGTGGAGAAAGATATAAGAGATTATTCAGTACCAATTAATTGCTATTGTGATGATTATGGTAAAAGAGATAATAGTCCTACAATATCACCTCAGAAACGACGAGAAGTACCTAAACCGAACATTCTAGAACCTATATTAGAGGAGTCGAAGAGTTCCAACGATGATTCTAATAATTTTAATGATAATAAAAATAAATCGTCAGTGAACTCAGATTGCACTTTGATAATCCAAAACATAATTGATAAAGCTACTGCAGCAGTAGAATTGAAAAGCGAAATTTTACATTCAAATGATAATAAAGTGACGACTGAATATCTTGAATCGGAAAGCGTTAGTAAAGACGCTTATTTTGTTAACGATGAAGAATCAGAATTAAATAATAATGATGAAGATAGCGTTTCTACTAATATGCAAACGGCCATAGATATTTATAAAGAAGTAGATGATCCAATTAATGAACAAGTAGTAAACTGTGTTTATGAAGACATAGTTGAAATCTTATCACGAGATGCTTCTACAGTTAACAAAGAACCTCATGTCGATGATAATAAAGACTTCAGATCTAGTTTGTACAGCGTAAGTTCAGGGAGTGAAGTCGTAAGTTTCAATTCTACTGTAGAATTTGAGAAATATGAAGCCGTGTCAGAACTTATAGCTGCTATTTTGAATAAAATAGATTTTAGTAAAAAAGAGTACAATTTCTTCGAGGTTGTCGAAAATCGTGAAATTAAAACACAATTAGATTTAGAAAGT